GTGGGCTGTATTTTATAGTGGATTTTCGATTTTTCCCAGACCCACGTTAACCAATTTGATAATATGTGGGATAATATACTTGACACATAATTATGTATAGCTTAAATGTAAAATATATATTAAGATATATCTGTTGTATCAGTAGAGGCGAGGGGGCGATCGGTATACCGAGCCGCTCAATTTCTACGCCGGGGTACCGGTACGGTCGTGATCGGGTAAGCTTGCTTATTTTACATTAACCAGTGTATTAAGAGAAGTGTGAATGTTGAAAAAGCATATTCTGTTACATAACAGCAATCTTTGTCTAAAAATAGTACTTCTAAACCTGAACTCCCCGGGCTAACTAGTACCCGATAACATAGAGCGGTACCCTGCCGATACCAAACTGCAGAAGTTTAAAAAATATTATTTCACTCCTTATTCTAGATAATTAGACCGCCCCACCAAAGTTATCCAGACCAAACAGCGGATCCAGTGGTAGTGAGAAATTGAGGTATTCCGTAGCAGGTTGTTGAGAGTGATCGTTTTGCGCTGGCTCACTCTCGGAACATTGCAGATTGATCGACTGGGGGCCGTCAAAACTTTGAATAATCGCGTCAATATCGTAGATTGGGAGATTATATTGGAGGTCATAGTCTAAGTCAGATAGTTGGTTTTGCTTTCGAAAGAGTTCTGTATAGTGGCCAGCAAGATGTCCTGGGTCTCGTAGACCGTTCCCTTCGCAGGTCATCTGTGCAGTAGCTTTATTTTGACTGCTGGCTGAGACGGTCGAATCGTCAATATCAAGGTTCATCACTTTGATTAAGTTCAGTATAACCCCTAAGGCACACTTCGGTCCTAGATATAACCGTTGATGCTCTCTCAAAATTGAGAGGCAATTATGAAGACAGTCATGGGCATGAGAGCCTGCAGGGCTATGTGCAGCCATACGAGCGTGAATAGTGGCGCTTACGTAGGTAGCATAAGATATACTGTACGGCGCTAGTTGCATCGAAAATGACTTCCTATAAGTACCAAGTGTGTCATGTATCGCGTTAGCGGCTGTCGCACAAGCCTCGAAGGCTATGCCTGCAACTGATGGTGATGCGCTTCGCAGATGTCCGTCCGAGACAAATGGACGATAGAGCAGGATCTTTAAGGTATGATATAACGCACTACATAGTGTGAGCGGGCACCATACATGCAAGTAGCAGTGAAATGCTCTAGTACTTACGTCAACGCGAGAATATGTGGGGACGCGATGGCCGTGGAGGAACCCGTCGTTCCAGAAGTGAGGCCTGAAGTAAGCTCATCATGCCATGACTGTAATTTGTGCTTTAGAGACGTTGAGCATTCGAAGAGGATAACTGGATCCCTTGAAGTACTGCGCTCCGTATATAACGTGTCCAGGATGCGGGACATGATGCTGGACAGAGAACAGTATCTTTTCAAGATCGAGACGGAATGTGCTGGAGCAGGTGGCAGCCCTATGGAGTCTCCGTATGATGCGGGATCAAATAGATCATACTCCTCGTATTCATCTAGGAAGCTTAAAGGGATTGCCGAATCTGTCTCTCGCAGCCGGACCGGCCTTCCTTGGTAGAGTGACTGACACTTATCAAGAACTATGTCCATCAGCGTTTACTCTGCCAACCAAACTTGAGGGGGCTTTACCGTAAGCACCCCAAAAGACTCTTCTCCGGACCTCAGCTTCCTCAGGGGATAGACTGTGGCCCTTTCGATAAATTCCATTATCCATCTGAATGCCCAGGTCCGTTATCATATTGATAGCCATACCAGAGTAGAGCCAAGCCAGGCTCTTTTCGTCACACCAACTGAACAAAGAAGACGCCACTAAAAGCAATGCTTGTATTGTGGTGATCTCGCTCCGAGTAATATGGTCGTTAAGCAATTGCGTGATCCGTCGCCGAAACATTCGTCCAACAGACAGTGGATCACTTTTATTATCTCGCACCTCTAGGCGAGGCGAATATTTTGAGGCTGTAAAGTATATTGCATTCAAAAGGAGCTTTGAAAAATATGGCCCAGAGCATGCCATATCCTTCATGAAGACTGGTCGATAAACGACCGCACCTACGTCTAATTGGCGATCCCAATACAATGACAGAAGATGCATAGCCAATTCCGGATTCAGACCGTCAAAATCGTAGCTGTTACTGTTAAAGTTGAACCTTTCAAGCTGGCCTAGTGTTGCAAAATTAGCCCATATGCGTCAATGTGAGAATCACATCACGTACGTAATCGGGCCGCGCTCGCTACCAACTGATTTCGAGTAGTATCTGGTTCCTCTTGTTGCTGAGAACGCCCTCGTTTTCTCATATCGCGATTAGAAGTTATCTCATCGGCCACAGCACTTGTCGGACCATGTGATCGCTCGACAGTGTCAAACGTTGCAGTCCATTCCGTGTTTCCAAAACCGTGACTGTCCATATGCGAGCATACCGGCCCGTGGCCGACACTCGCATCAGTCCTTCCTGTTGGGGGGTATATCGGATCATAGTGTCGTGACTGGAAAGGCGCAGTAGCAGACCGTATTTTGTCTCCGTGTTGTAAATCAACCTGTTGCTTTAGGATAGCTATAGCATTAGTAAGACGCTGATTCTCCTCTTCCAAACGCGTGATGCGTGCTTTGGATGGCCTAGACCGTTAGGTCAGATAGATTTTAGGTTGTCTGGGGTTTCGCACAACCGTACCGTGGAATCTTGGCTTGTTCAATGTATGTACACTCTTTTCCGCGAGCGTGACAATGCTGGCATTTCGAGCGACCGTTGCTGCATTTTAGCTTCGGTATAATCCTCGTTAGCTACTTTGTTGTATCATATATTGGCACGGTATATGCTGACCTTTTTCTGACGACAATAATCACAGGCAATTGCGGCTCGCCGTTTTTGTTTCACTCTCGTTGGGGGTGAGTTGCCAGGCATCATTAAGATAAATTCCTGGAAAGATGGCGTGGTTGGATTGGAACTGAGAGTAAGCAGGCATATTGTCACGAAGTCAAAAGGCAATGCCGCCTTATCTTATCTTATCATCTGGGTTCATTCCTTTTCGGGTAAGCCCCGGAATGGAACTATCCGTTAATTTAATCCACCCACGATTTGAAGCACCTCGATCACTAATACAATATTCACCTGGTTACCGGAGATTGCGATCCACCATGTGGCAGCTGCCTGTAGACAGGGACTTTATTTGAATACATCAGCCTGAATCACTAAACCCCCCCGCCCTCCTCCCAAGGCCTCACTGTCGTTCACCCAAGCTGAGTCACTCTTCTTCATGCTGATTGTTGACCCGACGTATTGGACTCAAGAAACTGAAACGCGTGGATTTTCACCCCCATAGTAAAGACCTTGCGTACAAGATCATAGCCCATATTGATGTAAGCTTTCTCATGTTCCCTACCCAGGGCGCCCGAAGTGAAATTTCATGAATTCGAGCCCCCATCTGAGACGCGCTGGCACCCAGTTGTAAATTTCCGCTAGATACTTGTCACGAGCCCGTATGATCTCAGCTCTTTCTTGAATCAGCAGTTCCTTGAGTGCGAGCAGACGAGGTAATACTCACTGGAGTCTGGGTTAAACTGTATATCCTTTTCAATGGTTATTTTATCGGTTGAGTATGCCACGTGTTCGATCACTTTTGGAGCACTCCCTGCCCGGATGAACACGTCCTCATACGCCACACTAATGTACGCTTCATTGGTTTCGTCAAATGCTTCTTACAGACGTTCTTTTTGCTTTTAACATTATCAAAGATCAATGTAATGCCCACCACATGTTTCTTCGACGTGGGCATCATGAAGTAGGGCGGTAGGACAATCGAGCAACATTGCCAAGTCAGTCGCAGTTTCTCTGATAGAACTTAACGCCATTGGGCAGCTTGCTTGAGATATATATGTATGTTTAATTGGCTTCACACCAAGCCATCATACTTCCAGGCATGGCCTCTCTGTGAGTACCTGAAATTGCTGAATATTGTAGGAGGGTACCGGCTGGTGAGGTCGAATTCGGACGATTATACTGCCATGGCTCCAGTTTGTGCCAGAGCATTGGCTAGCATCGAAACTGTTCTAATAGACTGGCAAATTTACCGCTTTCAAATAGCGCAGGAAGGTTCAGATTCTGAAAACTTTCCAGTCATCTCCCTTCTCGCTGGTCTCTGCAGACGGACTATAAAATAGTTAGGGAATAATCCTGGACTAGTTATAGAGCACCTACACCTCTTTAGTCGATTAGTTTGAGTCCTGAACTGGAGTTTTCAATGAGCTTCATAATCCCTTTCTCACTGCATTTCGAAGAAGTTGAGGTTTTGTTGACCCCGTGACTGCCACAATGATTACCAAACTGTGTAGTGATCATTCGGTCTGAAGGGCAACCCGAGTACAGAGATTGACGAGAAGACTGCAATCCACAGCCAATGGGAAAGGACGATGAAACAGGGCTTCGAGGAAAACAGCGCACATATATGGGGGATATGAATTCCTGGGAGTCGGCTTTGTGAATAACTGTTACTGCTATCTGGGAATATAAATTGTCCACATATTCCCATTTGTGAAGCAAGTAATGTGAAGTATTTGAACTTAACATTGCACCATGGTGTCTCATATTGTAACATACTGATGATACCGACTAATTCGTTGCAAGGGTGACGGTTTCTGTCGTTCGATAGTAATGTAGATCGATCAGCCCGCCTCACTGGGGTTCCAGTAATTTAAGTCATTATATACTAATGCGTTGGACGTGTTAATTGGAACCATGGAACCTCAACCCGATAAATCAACCGTCTTGCTGACTTTGCGAAATTCCCAGCGTGTATCCTGCAGTGGCACAAATAATACTCAGTTTACTTTCACTCTTGTCTACTTGACCTTTATGTTTTCCCCAAATATCAGCAAAATCTTTCCTCAACCACTCTCGGTGTCCCTACACGTGATCATTCACTTCATTTGTTTGTCTTCTTTACTCCCCAGCTTCGACACTCCCACCAGCATCATCATCATCATGTCTGCTGAACAAAGTCAACCATCTGAATCTTCCTTTGTCGACAGTGTCGCGTCTATCATCCAAGATCCCCCTGTTTCATCCGACCGAGTCCCCAGGAGCAGAAACACCAAGAAGCCCCCAACCCCAACCGCTCAAAGTCTTTTTTACGCCCTTAAAGAGGAAATAATTCAGACCAACGGTCCTTCTTTCATTGAGAGAGGGGGAATACCCCCGGAAATCGGTTATCTTGTTGCGAGGAGCCTGTCTGAAGATGACAAAGTTGAAAGAAAAAGCGTCCGCATTTCGTACAATCCAATCAATCAGAAGTTATCGATCAAGATGCCCTCTCATATTGACGATGTCATTGTGAACTGGGGTTCAAATGAGCTAGTCCGCGCCGGGGTTACAGGTTTTTTTACGATCCTGGAGCTAGATGAGGTCTCACTCTCATCGACATGCCGTAAGAAAATCTGTAATATCTCTAACTGATCTATACTTATAAATGGTATAATAGGTTTTGATAACTTCCCGATACCATGGCAATCAATTTATAAAGAGCCAGACTTGGTTTTTGTCTACGGGCCTATGAACCATCCCACAGTGTTGGTCGAGGTGGGCTACTCGCAGTCATGGCCAAGCTTGCTCCAAGACAAAGATGTTTGGTTCCAGGCTGCACCTACTGTCAATGTGATAGTCCTTGTGAAATGGGATAAGCGCACAAATAGTAGGGTGGCCGGCTATCTGGAGCTGTTTCGCCGCGGAGCCCCCAACCCCACTCACATTGTAAGTATTAAGCAACAGAAGTCCTCCCTGTGGCTTGACTGGTCAGGAAGCGGCTAACCAGTATTTTATATCCTAGGATATCTTTCCTATACCAGCACCATCCGCCCCCCAGACCCTCACTTTCCGCCGTGATGACTTTTACCCACCAGGGACAATGCTTCCGGCCGGGAGATCCACAAGTGATTTGTGGCAATGGGATATTAATAACTTGCGGATGAGGACTATCAATGCAATGAATGCTGAGGGTACGGTGCCAGCATAATAATCCGATAAGGAGTAAGGCAGGCCCAATGGGACATTGCATGCATTTCTGGTACTGAGACTGACGGTGTCAGCCGACGCTAGTTTTGGTCGCTCGTGATGGGCAACAAATCCTCCCGGCAAGAGACGTCCCGATGCCAGTCCAGGCGACCAATAGGAGAGCCTAGTTCTCGGTTCAGTATGTAAACGGTCGGATAGTTTCATCCCGATAGTATACCTAACATTTATTATTTAATGAGATGAAAAGCGACAAGATCTTCTTTACATTTTATGATTTGCATTGCAATAGAGTGGTGGACTCGATAGTTCCATTTTTTACATTTACAAACCAACACGATGCAATCCATACTTCAATATCGACGATTCAGGGATCTTGCTGAAAATCAGCTTGCAACAAATCCCGAGAAAGGTCTCGGACTACGGCAACAACCGACTTTCAGACGGATAAAACACTTCTCAGCAAATGAGACTGATCCAAGGGACTCTAGATCGGGTGATGAAGTGTCTGTGGTCTCAAGCCAAAATACACTGCCCCATCCCGATCAGCACAACGAAACGCATGACGATGACGAAAAAGCTTCCATAAGCCCAAGTATGGGTCGCTTGAATGCGAGTGTTACAACCAAAGCAAGTGAAGGTGATAATTCAGATATTACCGAAGCAATTGTTGTTGGATTTGAGCCGACATATGACCCCTTGAACCCACGCGATTGGAGCTTCGGCAAGCGACTAATCGTCACCATCGTGGTTTCATTCATGGGCGTCATTGTAGGGTGGTCTTCATCCATTGATTCGGGAATTATACCACAGTACGCAGATGAATTCGGTGTAAGCGAAGTGGTGGCATCTCTGTCTACAGGTTTGTTTCAACGCCTGTTCAGCTTGTATTCAAAACTGACAGTGGATCATTAGGTCTGTTCTTGGTGGGATTTGGAACGGGGGCAGTGATGAGCGGCCCGTTCTCCGAGACTGTTGGGAGGAATCCCATTTATATCATCACCTTGATTGTATTTATGCTCCTACTGGTAGGAGCTGGGTTGGCTCAAAATCTCGCTGGCCAGCTGGTATGTCGAACGTTGGCGGGGATTTTCGCTGCAACACCACTCGCATGCGCTGGTGGTACTATTGCCGATGTCTGGACACCTGAGGAACAAGTATTTGCATTTCCCATTTATGCCATCATTTCTTTCTCAGGCCCCGTGCTAGGACCTGTGGTCGGGGGCTGGATCGGACAGTCCAACCTCAGCTGGCGATGGACCGAATGGGTGACTTTAATCGGAGCAGGGATCATCCTTATAACCGTGGTCTTGTTTCAGCCTGAAACATACGCGCCTATTTTGTTGAAATGGAAAGCTATACACCTTCGCCGCGTGACTGGAGACGACAGATACCAAGGAGAGATCGAGCTCAGAGAGACATCGCTACCCGCAAGATTGATGCTAGCGATGTACCGACCAGTGGTAATGCTCATCCAAGAGCCCACCATCTTCCTCTTTTCCTTATACCTGACGGTAGCATACATCATAATTTTCACCTTCTTTACCGGCTACGAATTCATCTACGAAGGCATCTATGGTTTAACCCAAGGCGAAACAGCCCTCTGCTTCCTAGGCCTAGCCATTGGCCTCCTCTTTTGCGTCCCTCTAATCCCACTCAACGCAAAGCTACGCTCCCGCGATATCACACGCACCAAAGAAACAGATCCCACTGGAAAGACACTTCCAGAAAGCCGTTTATATTGGGCAATGATCGGCGCCCCAGCCCTCCCCATCTCAATGTTCTGGATGGCTTGGACCGCACGGCCGGATATACCGTTCTGGTCACCGCTGGCAGCGTCAGTATTGACCGGATTCGGTATGCTATGCATCTTTATTACCTGCTACCAGTATCTCATTGACACATATGGGACATATGCGGCAAGTGCACTGTCGAGCCTCACGTTGATGCGGTATTTGGTTTCTGGGGCTATGATTGAGGCGTCGATTCCGTTTTATAAGAACCTTGGAGTGCCGTACACGCTTACTATTCTGGGTTGTATTAGTGCTGTTCTTGTGCCGATTCCGTATGTTTTCTATAGGCATGGGCCTCAGATTCGCAGGAGTAGGTATAGTGGGAATAATTATTAGCATGAGAATAGATTTGAGAAATGAGAGACGATCTATCTAGCCTTGATGTTTGAATTTTGTGTGTTCTTGGTGTTGGTGCTGGAGAATTTTGTATGGCATAGCATGTAATACCTTTCGGTTCTTTTGCGTCCCTATCTTTTATTGTCTTCGTTTATGAGAAACACAGATAGAGAGATGCAGGGTGTAGCAGGGAAGAATATCTTTCTTCTCCTTGCCCTCCCCAGAGGGCGCACGGCAAACGGCTAGGGGGGATGTGCTCAAGAGTTCTGCGATGGGGAATAATTTTTCCTAGCATATACATAGAGGAAACCCTAAGCATAGGCCCCCTGACACTCATGAATCATGAATGATAACCAGTGGCAGGTACAATGCCGGCTTACGTGTCTAGCTGACTGAGTCGGGGGAAAAGGCCCGAGTGGATTAAGCGTTAAGGCAAGCGAGTGAAAGACTGACGATAGTTTCCTTGAAAGTCAAGCGGGGTTTGTACCTTTAATTAATTTTAATTTACTTAGTGCTTCGGCCACTAACCGGAATGAACTTCCCACCGTCCTGCCGTAACCCTAAGACCAGTGGCTATGCCGCTATGGATAGTACACCGTTGCCCATTTGAGAAATTCTCCTGTTGATCTTAACCCCATGCACATCGTAAAGAATTATACCGAGTTCCCCGGCCGGAGGTAAAGTGGATTCCTTTTGCCGGGCTAGTTAGTATCTTGATTGTTCTTAGCTATGATAACATACGGCTAAAACGTGAAGGGATTGGATGCATTCCATCGGCGGAACGGGTTTCGAGTCAATTTAGACCGAGGCCTTCTTAAAACGTATGCAGGGGAAAGATGCATATGGCGTGATTGTTTCGCATGCCATATTTAAAATCATAGCATCGTTTCCCGGCTGCATCTTACCCTTCCCTAATCAGCGGTAGAGCTATTTGTCTTTGCTCGTTGATTCTCACTAGCGATTACTTTTGGGCTGCATAATGCTCTTTCCTACACTTGCCATCACAGTAGCCTTCGCTGGAGGTACTCTGGCTCTGCCGACTGGCGATGATGCACCATTCCTAACGGTCGTCAGTTCGACCGAAGCCATCCTGGGTAACTCGATCTGGAATGCAACTGTGGGTGCGAGCGTCGTCAAGCCTATATACTACCAAGGCAAAGAGATCGTCGGTGATGCCAAAGGCCAGTATTATTCCTATGTGGATCAAAGCGAATCCTTCAATTTCTCGAACGCGACCATCGTGGATTCAGGCGACGACTTTATCGATGTTCAATTTACGACATCAGAGGGTGACCAGCATTGGGTAATTTACCGCAACCAGCACGGCGCATACCAATACTTCATTAACAAAGATCTGCCGTCGCCTTTGGGCGAGTGGCGAAGCCTGTCACGCCTCGACAATGCAACTTTCACAAATGGCTACACGACATACAGACAAGGCGCTTTGCCAGAGCTGTCTGAGATCGAGTCTGGAGAGAAGGTCCAAGATGAGACGTACAAACTATCAGATGGCAGCTATATCACCAAGTACGATTGGAGTGACTTCATCAATTCGGCCAAGGCTTGGGGTGTCTATGGCGACGGGATTGGCTGCTGGTATATCCACCCGTCCAAGGAGTACATCAACGGAGACCACCTGAAGCAGGAGCTTATGGTGCACCGCGAAAGTAATACTGGCGATACAGTGTTGTTGAACATGATTCATGGGCTACACTTTCTTACGGGTCAAGAACACGAGTTCGCCGAAGGAAGGGTATGGGGTCCTTGGCTCTGGTACCTCAACAATGGCTCGGTCGAGGATGCGAATGCGAAATATGATGAAGAGGTCAGGTCGTGGCCTTACAGCTTCCCCAACGCCGACATTGAGGCAGGCCATCATCAGCGCGCATCCTCCGTGAATGGTATCATTACATTGTCAGACGGTCGAGCTGCTTCAGGGGCCAGCGTTATGCTTGGCGATAATGAAAGCAGCCAGCTTCCAGTGGAGCAGGGCGCAAACTTCTACTACAGGACAACCGCCGACAGTGACGGAAACTTTTCATTTGAGAATGTCCGTGCGGCAACCTACGCTCTGTATGCCTGGCCCGGCAACAATTCCGATATTGGCGATGTATCCACCAACCTGACAGCCAACGGCATTGAGATTTCCGAGTCTACCTCTGCAATCGATTTAGGCGAATACACCTGGGATACACAGAACCGGACGAAGATCTGGCAGATTGGTACGCTTGACCGCCTCGCTTGTGGCTTCAAAAACGGTTGCAGTGGGTACCACCACGGTCTATCGGACGAGTCTCCGGCGGACTTCGAGTACACTATTAACAGCTCGGAGACCTCAGATTGGTCTTACGCCCAGACGGCTGAGGGAACATGGCAGGTCAAGTTCGAGCTCTCTGATGATCTGGCATCCGATGCAGTTGCAGTCTTATCAACAAGCCTGGCAGGATACAGCTCGGGAGTAAATATAGAGATTACTGCTCAAGGGGGTAATGCGACCGTCGGCGAGCTCAGTGACCTCACCAATGACGCTTCTGTATATCGAAGCTCGACATTTTGCGGCGTTCACCGATATGAGGAGTTTGAAGTACCCGCTGGTACCTTCACGAAGGGCTCGAACACGATCGAATTTACCGTTACGAAAACATCTCAGTGGCATGGCTTTATGTGGGACAGTATTTTGCTAGAATGGTCATGAGAGAATTGCAGTCCGGCTTTGTATATGTACATCCCCCTTAAATCTTCAACTTACTGGTTATCCGCAAATACCTTAAATGTTACATAACGAGGGGCATTGGGCATGTATGTGCGCTGGCGATGCTGTCACTCTTTCCCAATTTATATAAGGTTGGGTTTACAATATTGTCATATAATCTTAGTTTGTCAGTGTGGGCACGAATGCATTTTAATATGCATTGGTGTGCCTATTTCGTTTCGGTCGAGTGCATTCTTAGGTATACTGTGTATCAAAACCATCTCCTATCAGTCCAGTAATGCTCTCCTCGCTCAGATACCGATATTGGCGATGACTATCAGAATCCAAGGTCTTTCTCATACTGCTTCCACTTTGTTCCAATCGGTTGAAGAAGTGTATAGCTTCGCGAACTCTCATTCATGCTCTGCACCCCATTGATCAAATAAAGCGGAGTCATCTCACCATCGTCACTAAAGAAGATCTTCGGTCTCTCACGGCGCTTGAGTGTCTCTACCGACCCATCGGTATATGTAACAGTAGAGTTGAAAGCCTCCTGCAACTTGAAATGCCAAGGCCCAGTTAAATCGCGCGCATACATGTGAGCACCAACGCGAGGCCATTTCTGCCCATCATGTTCAACAATATCGATCATCCAGTGCGTCAAGGTATGCCAATTCCCCCTCTTGTCACGCCAGAAGAACGGGTCTTCAGTCCATGTGGGGCTATACCTAGTTGTGTTCCATTTCTGCGTGTACATCAACTTGTATTCGCCGTCCCACCTGTCTGCAACGAAGATTGCATTTCCCTCGACTCCCATTATAATCTGGCTGGTTGGGTCTTCTGGTGTCCAAAGTGGCCACGGGGCAGGGTTGGTCGATTGTGGTTCTTCAGAGTCAAGAATCATCTGAAATGGGGTCCAAGGCCCTCGGATGCTATCAGAGCTGGCGACGGAGATATTGTTCGGCCACCGTGTGTAAGATATGCTTTGGCATTTCTCCGGCTTCGGGGCATCAACGCCGATGGTATACAAGAGATACTTATTATCCGCAGGACTGAAGAAAACATAAGGGTTATGGCGAAAGGCCGGAGCCAACGTGTCGGCGAAATGGTATGGGCCCTGCGGTCCAGTCCGAGACTCGGCCCTCATTATAAAAGAATGTGGTCTCCAGCCACTCAGTCCACAGCCGTAGCTGAACTGAGACGCAAACAGATGGAATAGGGTAGGATCGGCTGGATCCTGCAAGATTTGTCCACCCCAGGAGGAGTTGCCATACTTGCCGTAGTAGCTTGGGTCTGTAATATTTGTGTAGTTGTAACCTGTATACCTGGTAGCCGGAGCGAGGTCCAGCCTGCCGCAGTCTTCACCAAACCAACCGTGGTCACATTCACATATTTTGCTTGCAGTGCCGCGACCGTCATCGTTATTGGTACCATCGGTGCTGTCAATGCAGACGCCATTGAGGCTGCAGTCCTCATCGGTTTCACAAGCCCGGGCGAGGCTAAGGGAAGCTAGCCCTAAATATGCGACATGCAAAACGCGCATCGAGAAACTTGGTACAACGTGCTCGACAACTGCAGTATGTAGAATGGGTGCGTGCGTGTGTAGACCTTTGCTGTATAGCTATAACTTATTGAGGTTTTAACCGCGGCATTGTGGTGCTTTCAGATGAGAAACCCCGCTTTGTCGTCTTTTCGGGATAGAAGATACCGACGGATAAATTGCGATGTCAAACCCTTGCCCGCTTGGCTTGCATATGAACCTCTTAAGCTTCTTGCGGGGCTCCGCATTGCAAACCTTTGCTTGTTGTGGGCTAAATCATACATATGCCGCCCAAGAAGCGTTCACAAAACGGTGGGGTGGTAGGGATGATCTTCACTCCAAATGGATAACTAAATGACCACTTTCAGACTTTGGAGGGGACGAAAACTTTCTAAATGAAAAGCGATTGAATCACCATAAATTCTTGAAGTCTATGAAGCAAGGGTGGATAACTGCCCGAGTACATTTATCCTTTCTTTCTTGTCTTTGTTTCCCTGTCGGGTTGAGCTGTATTATAAAATACTAGCCTTACGATAGAACTGCTCTAGCTTCTTTTCAAGTATATCAGATAATCGTAAATGGGTTTAAATCGAGTGAATAGGGTAGCTAATCTAGAATCTATGAACTATATCTTTCACACTACCATTATATCTGCTAAAGATACAGGTTTTTTTGACCAAGTGTTGCAACACTTTTTGACCAACTATTATACCTCGCCAATGTTCTAATCATAGTTTGTATTCAGTGCGAACTCTCGCGCAGCATCAAGGTCAGCAGAGGCCTTATCCAGCTTTGCCTGCATCCTTTGCACGCAATCTGGACCTAGTGGCAATCTCAGAATCTTCCCCTTAAGTCTACCAGCGGCGCCTTCTCCAGTGATGACTTCAAAAATCCTAGCAACCGCCTTTTCAGGATCTCCTTGTTGTTTGCCTTGCGCTGACTCGAATTTGCCTAGCATAGTATCCACGGGTCCGCCTTTATAGGGTTCGCTAAGTCCGCTCTCGTTCCTCTGAACCGCCGACAGGAAATTCGTACGGAAAGCACCGGGTTCAACCAAAAGAACCGAAATATTGAAGGGCGCCAGTTCACGAGCCAACGATTCAGATAGACCTTCCAGAGCAAACTTGCTTGCAGAATACAACCCGCAAGAAGGAAGAGCATCTTGGCCAGCGATGCTACTAATGTTCACGATCGTTCCGGTCCGGTTGTCGCGCATACCGGGGAGTACAGCACGGATTACTCGAAGCGGTCCGAAGAAATTGGTCTCCATCTGGAGTGTGCTCTCTTTGTCACTGTAACGGGTTATTAGTCACCGTTGGCCTTTAACGAGTAGATTGACGACTTACTTCAGATCCTCCACGGCGCCTAATAATGAGTACCCCGCATTGTTTACTAATACATCGATTTTCCCGTAAAAGCTCTCTGCCTTTTTGACTGCCCCAGATATGGCATCGGCTTTGGTGACGTCTAGTTCCACGATCTTCCCGCCCTTATCCTGAATGGCCTGGACTGCATCTGCCGACTTGGATGCGTTGCGAACGGTTCCGATGACATGATGTCCGGCTGCCAATGCGTATAGAGAGAGGGATAGACCCAGTCCGGATGAGGCTCCGGTGATGAACCAGACTAGCGGTGCCATTGTGTCAAGAATATGGTCTGATAGCGAGTATGGTATGAGAATTGTCGGTGTTGGTTGTGGTGTATATAAATATAGGAGCAGGGAGCCTTTAAATAAGAGAGGCGTGAAGATAGTATGCGGAGATAACGGAGAATAGCGGTTCTATGGCGGGGTTAAGAAAGATATTGTTTTCTCACGTAAGACGATCAACAGATATCGTCAACTAGTCAAGAAATGGCCATTACTTCCATTACTCATACTGGGGGCCAAGGTCATGTGATATCATCCTCTATATAAAGCCAGTTCCCATCCAGCTCTCGGGTTCTCGTATAATATTAGCTGGTACCTTTCGGGAAGTAGTGAAGTTGCTGTTGGATTGTCTAAAGACTGTGCTCCGTCACCTCGGTGAACATAACTACGTGCTCGATACATTAAGGGTTTACTTGGTAAACCCTCGTCTTCTCAGAGGCTTGAACGAAGAAATTAGGATTGAGTCAAGATTCTTCAACGCTAATACTGAATTTGCTTACGGAAACGATATTATTCTTACTGCTTATAATAAGATTTTCCGGTGATCACTAACGTGGCGAAGCTGCTGTGGCGCAGTCGCAATGCCTACAAAAAGCGCAATGACTCCACGTTCCAAAGCCAAGATTCCACATTCTATTTTGCTCAAGATTTCGCATCATATGTCTCCGATCGTTATTTGCCCAGTGCAGATCAGTACCCGCTAGTTGCTCGTTGAGCCGCGAGTGGCCCATCACATTGGTGTGAATACGAGAAGCCGAGAAATGGGGCACAGTGTACCCACCGCTAGTGTACGGGGGGAAAATAATATAAGATGGAGAGGGCATCAGTAAAATTTGGGAAAGGCATTGTTGTCATGTTTAGCTGAACATACTAATCATGATAGTATTTCAAACGGCACTTTTTTTATTGTCTAATCTCTTAGCGGGCCCCGTGGCAGCATCGAAATATGCTACGAGGTTGGACACGACAGCGTCAAACGTCGGCCCGCTCACGACACGCTTTACTCCTCCAGCTTCATGTTCCGATATCCGCACGAGAGTCTTCTACGAAATTCCAAAGCTCGAAATGGGATGTGAAGGGCCCGGGGGGGATGAGTGTTGCCCTCCTAACTGGCGAGAAGATGTTTACTATAGTCCGGGGATGTGCCCAGCAGGATACCAAACTTGTACACTACCAACTTCCAAACAACGCCTCGAGACTACTGCCATGTGCTGTCCGGAGTAAGTTCAAAAAATTGGTATTTGTTTAATCTATCTTCATGGTACTCATGGGGGGGTATAGTAATTTCGCCTGTAACGGTCAAGGCCGCTGCACTCGCCCGTTGAACACTAGGGTTCCCCTTACCATGACCGGCGCCACAACTACCACCACTCGAACGGCATACGCCATAACGGCAACCCCCATCCAAATCCGCTTTAGAGCCGCCGAATCGACGATCGTGCCCATCCCGACGGCGTCTTTAAAGCTTCCGAGAGGATATCTGTACAAGCGCGAAAAAGTGGGTATCGGTATTGGAGTTTCGGCTGCCGTTATTGGATTTGCGATTGGTATATACTTCTGCTGCTGCTCTGGTAAGAAACGAAGAACGATGGCTAGGGTACCGACGACTCCTCCGTCAGAGGACAATATTACCGCCGACACTCCTGATGTTCCTCCGCCTGCTTATCCGGGCCCAAGTGATGGGTTGGGCACAGCGGCGCCAGTTCCAGGCAGCATCACTGACAACTGGCCCATGGGGGGACGGAAGTAGCTCACAGGATACCTAAATTGAAGTCTAACACATATTTCTTTTGGTTTTGGCATACACTTCGCACATAAGCAGTAAAACACTTGGTGGACAACCTCGCAAGGCAACTCTGGAGCCACCAGGGCTCCACCTCTGCCTCTTGGCAATCTCGTATTTTGGCCTTTCGATCTTCAACATTGCAACGAATAATATTGAATATTCTCCAGTCACTTAGCTTTTACTTTACTTGGAACCTGGCCAGTGTGGACACACAACATGTGAAGATTGATTCTCTTTAACCAACACAGTATAGGTCTTGGAACAAACTACATACATAACTATTCGCAGTATATATTTGCCCTCCTCAAAATGTTATCAACCTACCAAAAGCCAATGTTGTCTAAGATGTGATAATTCCTGCAATACTATCACAGAATGAAAGAAAAGGACACTCGCAAGAATCAGCCGAGAACCAAAGATATGTCCTTCAGGCCCAGTTTCTCCCACTCTTCTTTTCTAACATATCCACAGCCCAGACGGTATGCAATTGCTTCTTTCCACACCACCCATAGCACTTGGTATCTTTCCTCAATTTTAATAGTATGATCTGTTTGCCTCTCAATATTCCGATAAGCAGCATATCGCTTAGTGCGATAAATAGCGACCAGATCAACGGGTCGCCCTGGCACACTATCGGATTCAGGGAATGGTTCTTCCCGATCGTAACTCCTTAATGCCCCAACAATATTCCCGGACTCGTTGTAGATATATGGGGTATATCCGAACTAATCTTTATAATCAGCCGGAGCCATAGGGAGGTTGATTTTGTTTGGCAGAAGACGTATGGTGTTTGCTTTGGAATACACGTTGGTGTGGACTCGTGGATTTCAGTAACCGGGAACGGATAATACCAATTCCCAGGCAGATTACGATGCGTGAAAAAGGCATCACCACGTCCGTCTAGGAAAGTATACGGTTCTCCGCCTCTTGCATCAGATGGTCGTCCTTCATGGCCAGTCCAGTCTTCGGGAAGAGGTCGAGTAAAGTCTTTGAACTCATCGCGTTGTGTAAATCAAGTAGAATGGATCCGTCGCAACCCGTTTTTATCTGGATTGGCATTCGAACCGGTGTACCATTCGGTTATGGGGAACGTGTCTTGTTCAGAAGGAGTGTTAGTGATACGAGGGCTGTCTGATTATATCATCCCAAGCTCTGCTCCAAGAATCATATCTTCATGCTACATACTGCACTGGCACTTCCAATGCAGCTGAACCAGAGCCTTTGTTGGGCCATCATAAATTCTTGATAGGCCCAGCCACGTATATGATATTCACCACTTCACATTGAAAACACGTCTGTACTCGCAAAAGTCATCGCATCACCAAATCGAATGAACTTTTGTTTCAGCCCTCGGGGGTTTGATATACCTTTGAGCCCTGGAAAGCCTCCCCAGGCATCATGATCCAAAGAAATGATTGTAATAGTAGCACTCGCATAAATTGCGCTCATAGAGTTGGGTTGCGATTCTGTTTCTGCATTATGGCCATGAATGATACAAAGTGCATCAACCCATAGATATCGTTCTTCAAGAGCTGATGTCAAATACATTGCATGTCGAATGATTGGAGTCAGTTGGCCTGACGCATGCAGGCTCTTCAAGATACCTGGCCTTTGAAGTACTTTCAGATGATTCTTACTAGCTTGGAACCCTGTCTTTCTCCCCATCTATCACTCAGTGCTATAAAGGGAGAGGGGTCGCCATTAGATTTCAGACACCTTTTGCCAGGCAAAATACAGTTTTGTTCGACATCAATAAGCCATGCAGGCTGGGTTGGTCGAATTCGCATGGGAATATAACATTTAGGACCGTGTAATGACAAGCACATATCCTTCCATTGCTTGGCCTTATCAATATCAACCCAGTCTGGGTCCAAGACACACCCATTTTCAATGTGTTACGTGACAGTGTCTTGTTTGACAAGTAAATAATCTGTTGGGTTGAAGACAGGCTTGGCATTCCCAAATCTCAAGCTCATATCTGTGTCTTTTATAATTTCTATGGCCCATGGAGGGTATTGGATCATTGCTCCGAGATTCGCAACGATTGAATTTTTTCATCGGTAATTCTCCTTGTTTAGGGTATTAAAGAACTCTCTTGTCACTAGCAAACCCTAAATGGGCAAACGTAGGATCGCGACTGGTAGACACGCGCCAGATTTTTTGGCAGATCTTGCAATCGGAGAATGCTTTTGGTATTTTCATGGTGCCGTCGCTTTGATACCCAATATCGGACGTACATCACAAGGAGTGAAAATTGTACAAGACAAACCTCCACAAAGCATAAAAGCAGACTAGTTCTGCCACAAAAAGTATAGGCGAGTTATTCTTATTCCATTGTGGGGACCTAAGCAGTAGCCAGGCCCCAGGATGCACAAAATATGCCAAGAAACCCGCCCCTAAGCATTGACGCCGGGCGCATGGTATCAGCGTCGGCTAAAGTATCGGGATTTACAGCGAACTCACTCGCGTATCTTCGGGCTTCGGGCTTAAAGAAGGTGAACACTACGTAATGTATTCGGCCGGTTTTAAATTATTGGAAACAAAGGTAGGAAATAATCACCGTAAAAATTGCACTTGGTATCGAATTAAGTTAGAAATTCATTACAGCTCGCTCAGGTTAGGCGGACATGTTAATGTGGTCAGGCTGTCCGCCACACGAGACGATAGTCAGCCTTGCAGCTATGCCTTGCTCACGCCTAGGCCTACGAATATTGTGGTGAGATTCGACGTTATGACCGTGTATCTGTAATATTTTATCGTTGTATATTTGCGAATTCCCGTTCAATAATGCCTATATGTAAGTTGATTAGCCCATATGGCTGTAGCCTGGCTCAACAAATACTGGAACAGTCTTATTCCCCACCTAAAATATTTCTGTTCATTGTTCTTTTCTTCTTAACGTGATGCAAATCCTATGCCAATTTCTGTATGAGGGGATGGACCAACGGTCAGTCTGAATGCAGGTGGGAGTATGTCTTTCGGCATATCCCGGTTTCAATAACCTTGGATCGGCGGAAAGCGGGCAACTAGTGATCGAAGAGGCAATTTTTCGATCTCAACGAGATCCTTATTATACCTACACTGGCTAGTAAGGCCGCAACATTACTGACCTTGACCAGATTTGTCGGATAACACCTAGTGATTGTAGAGGACCAAACACTATAGGCTATGCACTAAATTCATCCGATTTTCTAGGACAAACAGCAGTCAGTCGAATAGTCTTGCCCTCTAACTACTCTTTAACAATGAAACTGAAGTCAATTTTCAATCTCTAAGCCACTAATAACAGCTAGAAATGAGAACGGCATTCGTGACTCACAGGAACAGGAATTAGGTCTCACCGCCGCATGTGACCCCTTTCAAAAGCGGCCCTCGGAACGAAGTCCCAGCCCTGTGGTAAGTGGCACACCCCACTCAGCACCATGGAAGCTTGTCATGTAAACCTGGGGTAGCTGCAGATTCGACTTGAACCTAGACCCCGATAGGCCCGGGCTAGAACTCCGGGTGAATATGATTCAGTGATGTATATTCCATCTCCGAGCGAACACCTTATTATTTGGTCTCGTCCGGTCCTAACCGGACTTGCTGCGGTGAGGAAACTTCCTTTAACCATTATATCTTTTTAAAGATTTACATTGCAGCAGTTCTCGCTAGTTGGAAGGATCGAAAGTCATCGTATTGTTCGTAACATACATACAGTAGTACCACTTGAACTAAGTGTTCGGGATGACTTATAAAATCAAAAGGAAAGCGATATCCTAGCTCCAAGAAACTTCATGTCGTTACTGCGATTTATGATGATTGAGTTTCAGAATCTGAATAGTCATTAAAAATATCCTCTCAGTGACAGATACCGGATAGAAATAGCAGTTGTGAGTTGGGTGGTTATGTGGAAGGGTGGACGGCTCCCGGATTTGGCGAGTGAAGATTTGGATGGAGTAAAAGAACAATTGGTTGGGCGAGTACTGAGCCAAATTTACGGGCGTAAAGCAACCTAGCCGCATATTTTTTATTTCAAAATAATAAAAAAACATACAACAGGAGGGATTCGCTGGTGGTCACCCACCCAACTACTAACCTCCCGGCGTGTGGCTTAAGTACGGCTGAGCGGACGGGAAGCCCTGTTCTCCACACCCTGTGGTCGTATGTACTGGTATGGTAAATGCCAGGGGATTATGTGGCTGTATTGGTGTAGTTCACAATTAATCCGACAACCTACAGCCAGAAGCATTGCAGCAGTAGCTGTCATTCTCATACACAATTCTCCTTAGTTCTTCCCTACATTGTTTGACCGTTAGAGCGGTCAAGTTTTAATTACAGATATACAGTTAAAACCTATAACGTGGTGTACATGCGTTATGTGTTGATTGCTGAAAACTTGGCTTCATTTATATATTTTCATCACGGTAGCACGTCACGGCTCTTGTAGCCCTACATAACTTTTCTATAGAACCTCCTTTGAAAATTAGCAGAGTTCTGAGCTGCAAATATCATACCATTACTAAATACGTGCTACATCCATTGGACCACAAAATACTGGCTGTTTCAAACTCATGTGAATATACTGTCCTCCGAATAATGCATAATGTGACACCAACACCTCATTAAGGTTAGGTTCGAGCCTTCTCGATATGTTCAATCACACATTAAGCTGTGTAGTTCGTAATGAGTGATGCTTTGCTGTTCGAATTGTAGTATTGGACCTTTGCCAATGGATAGTTAAAGTGTACAATCTTCTTCCGCTTAATGAGGAATGTGGGTAAGTTGAACTGAGAGTTCATCACTGCAACCTCCATTCGAACTTGCCATTTCGGATGGCAAACTCTACTCCCAGCTGTTCATTCATTATTCTAATGCCACGGTGATATCCACCAAGCATGGAGAGCTTATCCGCAGGAGTTTAGGAGGTCCAGACAGCAGGCGATATTCTTCAGGTTTACTCCCCCAGTCTGAGGTGAATATTCCAGCTTATAAGCGCATCAACGGTGTCTAAGATAGACTTAACATGTACAGCAAGCTAAAATATCGAGTTACCTTTAAGGGCGTGCCCAAATACCGATACCGTCCCAGTGACGCTACAAGAAATATCACAATACGGTCCTATCCGTACCACACTAACCTCTAGACATATTCAGCCACACATTATAGTGTAGAGAGCTTTGCAAAGAATAGTAATACTGCACAGCCCAGGTCCGGCAAGTTTGGGCTGGTAGGTCCGTGATGCAAAGTTTAATAAGAGCTGCTGAAGAATTACATACTACTTCCGAGGGCTTGACTTTCGGATCCGGCCAGTATGCACGTTACTCTAAGACAAGCTTCGGTAACCCCAAAGTGGTGCTTCAATGTATGGGGTCATCCAGAACATTGGCAGCAGTAGCCTGGGATTTAACTCCAGGTAACAGTCTTGAATGGCCGCCTCTGTTCATCACGTTAGATATGGTGGGATAACGGGGTGGACAAAATAGCCGCCTACAAAGCCAAGTACCAAGTACACATGTCATGATATGTGGTTGGATAATATGAAACTCGCATCATATACATAATTATACTACCAGCTAGTGATTGACCTGTCTTCGTCTTCTGGACATGTAGATTAAAACCTACCGAAAAGAGCAGCGAAGACTACGCTCGTACAGATCTTTGATGATTCTGGAGAAAGCATCTGCGGCAAGTATTTTACTCCTAGCAGAGAGTGTTTTTTTTTTTTTTTTTTTTTTTTGCGTGGATCAATACATTCCGCAGATGATATAGTGGCGATCTATCGTTAACGTAGCTGCCGTTTGTCTTCCTGCACCCAGTGGTAGCCCGGTGCGTTGGTTATACATCCCTCTTTCCTTTTCCTAGAGGATTGATTACTTTAAATATTAGGGGTTGATACTGAAGTTCGGAAGCTCTGTATTGCCTTCGAAGGACCTCCTTTGATCGGCTGGGTCACCCGTAACCTTGTATGGCACCTGTCCACAACAGGCAATAGGTTCGATAAGATGGAGTAATGAGCTTCAATCAAAAATGGCTTCCACGAATACAATTACAATGTAATACCATTTCTCACGAGCAATTTAGAACCCTGATTTCTTCAGGATGGCTTGCTGCCCTGATGCGGCGTAACAGCATTATGTTGACTGGCACCGGCTACCGAGCCAAGTGAGGAGCTCCACGTCATTTTCATACACTGTAGGGTCACTTAGGACATGTTAACCGATAGTGGGGCAGTAACCTTGTTAGTATGGAGTGGCGACAAGCTTGACTTTTGGCCTGGACTGGAACTGACCTCCAAACGCAAAGCTAAATCGGGCCAAGACTTAAATCCCGAGCGTCTCCAGACTCTCCCCTTCTCATGGGACGCAAATTGAGTTTCCATTGACAGCTTCAAGCGAGGGACTAGATTCTTTTCTTGGCTCTTTTAGTGCCAACAGAGGTATCTCAGCCACTGACGCCCAGCCCAGGGCTAAATACGCTACGGCAGACGAAACCGACCTTTTTAATAGACCACGACTAGACCCGTCCCATCTCGCCATATGAGTAGTCGAGAAGCACCGGAAATATTATCATTATTTGCCCACTACCTAAACTATTTAAATCCTTCTATATACTTGCAAGTCGCGATATCTACATCGCAAGCTATTCCAACATGGCTGTGTACTATGCCAACCGCAACCTCTCGCCAGATCAGAGCGACCAGTGGCCAATGAACTTCCCACCGTTGCCACCCTCTGAATATGATCGCTTTCTCGGCTGGTCTATGCTGGGAGATGGCGTGGCCAGCTCTGAGCCCGTCCCCCCACCGCAGAATGCTCAGATGCAGTTTGCAGATGTATCATCGACCGAGACGTACAGTCTCGACATAACGAAGGACTTCTGGGGTCCTCCAAGTTACTCGAATGTAAGACCAAGCGATTTGCCACCTGACCTTTCGCAATGATGCTAATCAACTTCCAGGCCGTTGGCGCAACTGGGTATCACTCACCTGGGCCTTTTAACGAGCCTCAACCCACCATGTACCCAGAACATGGGCAGACAGGCGTCAACGGTCCACCAGCGTCTACTACGTACCACCATCCGCATACAGGCACGCCACAGCAACCGATGCGAAAACCTAAACGTCAATCCCTCAGCCCCAAGTCGCATCTAGAGCTCTCCATGGCGACACCCATTAGACCCAAGCCAATGCCAAAACGGCGGTCATCGCAAGAGAGCACGACGTCCCAGCGTCGGCGGTCTTCTACATCCTCAGACAACAAGGATGATGATCCGAACATCTGCATGCTAAGGAAAAAGGCACATAATCAAGTGGAAAAGCGATATCGTGCAAACTTGAATGCAGGGTTCAAACAACTAGAAGATGTCACGAAGCAAGACTGCACGACCGCAACGACCGATAACAAGATGGCGAAGGGCTTGAGACCCGGTCGCAAGGCGTTGATTCTACAGCACGCCTACGAACACATCATCGGTCTTCAGGCTGAGCTTCGGTCGCTGCAGAAGATCCTTGGTGAACGGTGATGCTAGGTTTGGATGTGGCATTATACACTCGTGACTCATTTTATATACTACACTCGTTGACATTTTCCATATCGTTGTGTACTAAACATTCCTATATCAAAACCATACTGTACCTAATTAAGATGTTCATATGGTCTTGGCTGTTCTGGATGGAGTTTATGGCGTGGTTATAACGATGCTTTTTCTTTCTTTTTTCTTTTTTTTTGGGGGGGGAATGGGCGTTTTTAATAGGAAGGTCACTCGGTAGGTATTGAAGTTGGGCCAAACCTTGATAGAGTGTCCTTTATACCAATAATGAAAAGATGTCTGATATAATTATTTGACTTTTCTTTCAGAAGGTGCAGTGCCATATATTCGGCTCCTCGACGCACCACGGTATCAGCTCATTAGTTTTGCGTTATTTTTTTTTTTTTTTTTTTATTTGCAAAAGAGCTAGAATCACGAACATGATAACTCCAGTGTTAGCTTACTTTCTAAATGTAGTACCATGACGTAACTAGTAATGATGACTGGTTGCACCCTATATTGAAGCTTGTTTGGAGAGCATGCGTAAGCAAGTGAATTACCGTAAGCCTACAACTTGGAGGTGTAAGAACCGAACCAGAAGATGAAAGCAGTGAGATCTTCCTACGAGTACGACGACTTGGGATTCAAGATCGTCGGAAGCTTTCTGGTGAGCGCAATGGTATTTATTCTGCGATACTGGAACCAGATTAAAATCACCGGCTCAAAGAGTTAGGGTTACCATACTCTAAGATGTGTCATAGATAGCTTTTACCTACCATGCAGATCCTTCTCTCTGGAAATAGCGAGATAATTGCTCTTCCTAGAATTGTAACTGAAAAAAAAAGCAAAAAAGAAGGGCCCGAACCCGGGATCGAACCGGGGACCTCGCGCAGTTATGCTTTGGGTGAACCCTAAGCGCGAATCATACCACTAGACCATCCGGGCAGTTGATGATGAAAACACTCCAATTATACCTATATGAGTGAAAGATTAAATCTAGTATTCACCGACCAATGCAGCGATGGGTTTCTGCGTCTGCATGGGGAGGAAGCTCCCACAGGTACAGTCCGTTATTGTGTTAGCGATCATCCTTCCTTGGTGTCGAGCTTTACTGGCCCCGGGAGGTGGTGATGAGCCTGGGCTATAGGAGAGGTAGGCTGTTGTGACCTCAGAAATGAAGTCGGACAGGAAGGGTGACGGTGTAAGCAAGCACGTTGCTCAACCTTTAATCTAGGACATGGCAGACAACCCCCGACTGAGCATGCGGGCATGTAATAATGGACAAAAGACTTGGTTATAGGTGCAAAATACCATTATGGGAAAAAGAAATCCCCCTTGAATAACTATGAGATAATAAAACAAATAGTTATCCAGCCGATGTCTTTTTTATATTGCACAACTCAATTTCTTTGGAGCGTAGTGGACCCATCATTATGACAGCAGTGGTCTAGACCCAGACTCCAATTAGGGCATACACAGTTAAGGTTCCCGCGCCGGAAACGTCAACAACTGCCGTCGGATGTAACGTTGATCATTGCTTTTGAGAAGCCACTAACTGAGTGGGGGTTCCTCCTGTCATTATAGAGCTTACTCCGCTGTCAGAATCTTCGTGGCTTTTCAGATAAGCATTAATTCTTCCTGTCCTGCGTGAACGTTCCTTTCTTTGGCCGTAACTTGGTCTTCACACTTTGTATATAATAGCTCTGATTATACATGGCACATATGATGTGATCAACGATATATGTGAACTTTATAAGCAATGGGTCAAGTTACTTGACGTAAGTGCATTCGGGTCAGCCTCCCGGAATGGAGCGGAGTGCCAGATGCTTGTCCATGACGGCATTGTAGAACAATTCGTCGGCAGCCGAAGAGACAGATAAACTTAGCTTGTCAAGGTGCAATAGACCAGCCAAATGGGGTGCTCGTGTAACAAACATTGGATACGTTTTCGTCATGACTGAAAGCGTAAAATCTGACTAGAGACCATATATAAATAAGACTTACAACAGTCAGACTTCATGACTTTGATGTTGCGTTCTGTGATTCTATTCTTCATATTGCTTTCCTTCGTAAATTGTCTTTATAGCTTCCTAAACATCCCACTACCAACATGACCTCCTTCATCAAGTACCTCTGGGGCTCCAGTTCTGCCCAAGCCCCTCCACCTAATCCTCAGTCTACAATCGCAGATATAACCTTCCCCTCAGGCCTTTACATCATCCGCAACGTCGCCACAGGCACAGTAGTTGACCTCACCGGTGCTCATCGACAAGATGGCACCCCAGCTGTCGGCTGGTATATACATCCCTCCCATTGCAACACCAATAAACAGCACTAACCAAAGCATATCAGGCACTTCCACGACGCCAAGCATCAAAAATGGCAAATTGCCTCTGCAGGCCATAACCAATACTTCATCCTCAACGACGCAGCAGGAACATACCTTACGGCTGGTACGTCCCCAGCTTCCATAGTGTACTCACATACTAAAACACAGGGACCCAGACACACAACCAACAGCGGGCGTAGTTCTAACCACCGGGAGCCTTGTATCACCGACTAACAAGCGGGCGAGATGGACACTTGAGTCTGCGGAGACGAAACATGCCTACATGTATGTTTTTCCAGGTGATGAACATGCTTGAATGTAGGGACTAACGGCAACATAGTATCCGCTCCGTAGCTGATCCCTCCCGAGTCCTGGACCTCTCCTATTCTGATTCGAAGAACGGAACCCCGATCCTTATCTACTCCGACCACGGGACGAAGAACCAACAATGGATTCTCGAACAACTGGACGCCGCTCCACCACCACGTGTAATCAAGAATACTCCCGTGGGGGGGAAGGGTGGTACCCCCTTTGAAGAATTCAAGTATGTCCCTGTCAGGGTTGTAGAGACGTGGAGTGGAGAGGTGGAAGATGAGACTGTTGTTCGGGGGTTGCGATGGACATGGGACGATGGAAGTCAGAGCAAGCTTTATGGTGCCGATAAAGGAGATCATCAGGTGCTTGTTGTGCCGCCCGGAGGGAAGGTGAAGGAGAGCTCTGTTAGTTCAGGGAAGAGAGTCGATTCGATTGTTATTGTCACGAAGGATGGCAAGAGGTTTAAGGCGGGTGGTGATGGGGGTAAGGAGCATAAGCAGGATGTTGGGGATGGGGTTTTGGTCGGGTTTGATGGGGCCTCTGGGTTGGATGTTGATCGTGTTGGATTGGTCTTTTTGAAGAAGGATGGGGAACAGTGAATTTTATCTTGGGGTACCGTTGACTCTTTGAATTGAACATGCTTCTGTCCTGCTGTCGAATTAGGGGTTTTTGTGAATCTAGGTCGAGCGCTAGGGTTTAACTACGAGTTTTATATATACTATAGGTCTTGGAGTACAGGCACAGTGGTAAGTGACATTAGGTTACCATATCTGCATTCATATCAAATCGAAATGTAACCATGTTGCTCTTGTTACTTAAGAGAAGAGGTTGAAGGAAATCAAGGAGTTTAAATCTTCTTCTGGCACACATCATTGGGGATCTCATAGCTGGCCACGCGCCTACCACTTCCATATACGGCTCCTTGTCCCAGACCACGCTTGGCAAATCCGGTCCAGATTTCACATTTATTTTGGCCTCCCGTCAGAGCCTGATCCGCGTCCAGGATGGCATTGCGGGCCTGAACAAAGTCGGGATTGCAGGGTTGTCTAGTAGTGTATCGTCAGTGATACTATCTCTGTTCGGAAGGAATGTACTCACAACGCCATGGCATCGATTACTATCTTCATTGCCAGGTATTTACCGTCCTTGGGCACCCCTCTTTCGTCAAAAGTTGGCCGCGGGCCGTCGTCCTTCCCATGCTTATCAATCAAGTTCCATAGCACTTCGTACAGCATCGAAGCCCAGACGGTTCCACCTGCATGGACCAAGTACATTCTATTCAAGGACGTATAGTTCAGTGGGTTAGTTTCCATCGAAGTCGAATACAGATACTGTCGAATTCCCTTTGGACTATTATAAACCCAAGCCCCCATTCCATAATCTGTTGCACGCGTGTTATTGGGCTTGAGGCGGATCGCAGTCGCCATGAAGTCACCCCAACCTTCCCCCATGCTAGCCGACTCGAAAGCACTTAAGCATCGAGAGTTGCCAGGGCCACCGGTAAGTCGCATAGACACTGGGTAATACTCAAATTAACCCGAAGAATTCATAGAACGGGCAGGAAAAACTACAGCAGTACTTACACCCATGGGTATATTCATGAATGGCAACGCCAGACTCAAACACTGCATCCCGAGGGGGCTTGGTGCGCGTGAAGATATACATGCGCATGCGGGCTGGGTATCCGTCTGGTGGAGTAGCGAAATCGGCGTTGTTCGTCCCCGCTCCATCCTGCGCATTCAGGATCACATAGTCCTTCTCCCTGCCTCCCAAGCCGTTGTTGTTCCATTGAAAATTGCCTGCTTTTTCAGTAAAGCCCAGTGTGTACAGGAGATCATGGTATGTGTTAGCTGTGTAGAAAAGTTGAGTAATGGAAGCATTAATGTAGTCCTGAGGAGATCCATCAGCCGGGTACTCATAAGTAAAATTTAGAGTAGAACTATCAGGTCGGAAATTATTAATGTATGTCGGTAGATTCTTGAAATTCTCCTGGGCAATGCCGTTATTCCCTCGTGTTGAAGTCCAGTTTTTCTGTCCATCGCCGAACCAGGTCCAGGGGGATACCTTCAAATCCCACGGGTCAGTAACAATAACACGGCTATCTGTCTCAGCGGGATCATTGATTCCCCAGCCACTGTAATGAATCATTGATATCGGTGATTAGAGTGTTTTTCAATATCTGGCAACCGGACACGACTCACTAGACTTGAAAGATGGCCTCAGAAACATAGTCGACGACACCATGAATATCCTCGGCGGTTTTCGCATCCACATAAGTCAAGAGCCAGTTCTCATCAACGTCGGTCTCTATCCTCCACGCCAGGCACAGAGTCCCGTCAGGCTTCACGAGATAAACAAGAAGTGCCTTCGGGTCCGAGACCGCCCCGGACGTGCCTCGGAAGATGTATTTATGAGGATGCTTCGTGGATTCCGCTGAGACGCCAACCGCATTGATGGGAAGTTGAAGATGTGACAAGGCAAATTTCAACGCCGCCACGGGATCAGTAAAATCACGTTTTGTCAACTGGGTGATGCTGGGAACTGGCCCGGTGTAGAAGGAGTTTCCATAGGAGAAGACTGTGCCGTCTTTACCAACCTACATTTAACCAGTTAGCCTGGTGTAATAGCTCAAGCGGGCCAGCATATTAGCACATACGTTGACATTAAAATCCGCGTTATCGACATTTAGGTCGTGGATTGTCTGGCAAAAGTGAACGTGCGCCACACCGTTGTCCCCAACATAGTGATCCTCTCGGAGGCGGAAGGACGCGTTAGGGAATGTTTCCTTGACCAGCTGCATGGCCGTCTCGACATAGCCTTGCTCAATGAAGCCGACATTCGTAGTAGAAATAGGGATCTGCTGATTGGAATCGACGTATTCTGCATTGGGAGTCAATCGAAACTTTTCCAGGTCAACACCAGCGCGACGAGGAGATAAAGCGGGTTCAGTAGGATCGGCAAAGACACAAACAGACAAGGCCAGAGCCCCGATCAAGGAAAGGCTATGCATGTTGGACATGAAAAGTGAGGCGAGGATGGCAGGAAGGGATGATGTGGATAGTCCTAGTATTTATCTTGACTACATTGTCAGTGGCATGGGTGTCATTATATCTCATTCACTTGTTCATTTCACGCAATTTGCCATTGGTGCATTGGTGCATACAGATATATTTGGAGTGCATTACATTCACCACTTCACTCCGGCCGAGAACATTCTAATAGGTAAATCACACCTTCTCTGGTATTCATGAAGCCACAATACCAAATTATGCATTGGATTTGCTCAGTGAAGCTTTAAAGCTGATCGACATGTAAAGTGAATGCCCAATGCCACAGAGCATTTTGGTCTCCACTGGTGTTAATCACCACACATCTTCACTGTTGACTGTCTTTTCACAATTATTCCTGCTCGACCCAATGTCTAAGAAATAGAACGCTTCAGGAGCAATATGCAATCCGGACCAGCCTAAGAGGACATTGATAAAGGCTCAGGTTACATGCGCTATGGATCGAGAATAACACAATTATATACAAGGACTCCGGTAGTACCAAGTCTCTTCGTATATCATATTCACGCGTCTCATTCATGATCAACACATTGTCAGCTCTGGAACGCCCGGCTTTGATGATTTAACCTTTGAACAGAGTATTATTTCAAGACAGAGAAATGTTGTCTGCCACTCTATCTGCATCGTCCATGGCAGACAACAAAATGTCAGGTAACGCTCAGCACTGCCCCAGTTGCTGCGCTAGATGTGTATACCCTTGAACAGCTATAGTACATGGGAGTATTTAGCGGAGGTAACTAGTCGGGATGTACTAAAGTACGCTTCCAAGCGCTTGGGGCACTAACAAACTAATGTACTCTATTCCAACTACACCTACGTAAATAATTTCAGAATTAGCCCAGTACGTCATCCGGGCTTAGTACTTAACATATTCATTCTAATTGCCAATTGAGACGTTATTCTAGTCTTCATTGTCTTTAAAACGTTCTGTGGCATTCTGGAAACATTCAATATAACTGGAAAGGAGTGTCAAGAAGAGATCGGGCGAACTGCACCAAAATGGAAGGAGACAGTAATTAATGAACCGCGAGTCCGTGACTGGGGCGAAGTCACATGACCCCTCGGAAATGGCGACCTGTAGTGACAATGCAATGGGGACATCTTGCCGCCATGAATGTGGTTCATGGATATCAGTCTCAACTATGTCCGACCAACTAAAAAGATCTTCATCCAAACGCTTTCGTCCTAAAGTACCACTGGAACAGCGCAAACGTATTATCAAAGCTTGCACCAACTGTCGCCTACGTAAGCGACGATGTGTGCTCGTGTCTCCTGACAGGTGCCAAAATTGCGACAAGACTAACTCGAGCTGTGTCTTTGAATCTGAAGAAGTGGAATTGAATGACCTGCCGGCTAGGTATGAACTATTTGTATATTATCCTTTGCTGAAGACTGGTCTTGAACTTACCTAAATATCTCCAGTCATCTCAACGAGGATGGAATCGATCACGAAGATGTTGCAGCAGAGTTCAACAAACTTTATCCTGAGATTGGTCTCACTGCAGATCAGTCAGCTCATCTAATGAAAATTATCATAAATTCTAACCGACCATCTGCTGTAAATCAATCTACAAAGCAGCTCGGTCAAGTTGGCGCTACCCCAGACGAGAGACCGGCACCCGAATCTACAACTACACTACCAGACACTAACGCAACTACATTTGGTAAGTTCTATAGTAGAAACCTACTGCAATATATTAACAGTTTATTTAGGAGGGCATGAGGCGCTGGCACATAAAGATTTCCTAGATTCAGCCACTGAAGCGGTTTCCCAAACCGAAAGACCGGATTTCTCTGATAATAGTGTATGTCTGATGAATACCTCCTATGTGTAAGCCTCAGTCTAATTATGCTTTCTGCTTTGTGATAGCCTTTGTTCTACCCTGAAAACGAATCATATAGTGAATATGAGGACTATCTGATGGACCAAGTCTTGAAAGACTTCCCATCACAGACAGAGGCTGAAGCCCTTATTTCAACTTTCTTCTGTTATGCTGAGGCAAACTGGTACTATTTTGATGAGGCTACATTTCGTAGTCAACTATACGCACTATACAGGAGTGATTTTGCTACATCTATTGCCGACGCCAAATTGATTTGTTTGGCTCTGACTGTCTTTTCTATGGGAAGTCAGTTCGCTCATCTCCACCAAGGTCGCCCTGACAGTGATGCGGAGGGAGTGAACTTAGAACAAACTGGCATTCCTGGTGCTAAATTCTTTCGGCATGCGCAGCACCTTATACCATGGATAATAACATGCCCATCCTTGGAAGGGGTGCTAAGCTGTCTTTTAGCAGCCCTTTACTCTCTACCAATCCATAATACTAATACATGCTACACATATCTCGGCCTTGCCTTGCGCAATGCGATCTGCCTCGGTCTACATCGAAAATCTGCCGGCTTTAATATACCCCCACAACTGTCCGAGATCCGAAATCGTGTCTTTTGGACGACCTATAGCATTGAACGGTATGGATGGCCCATCCACTTCCCCATTTACTTCCCCCATTTTTTTTTTCTTTTGTTTAGAGTTTTTCTCACAATTATAGACGGGTCGCTATCTCTCTCGGGTATCCGGAAACGCTCCAATGCAACGATATTGATTGCCCCCTCCCCCGGCGACGGGCAGATTTGGATTCCTCTGGTTCGTTTCGTGCCGAGAGACTTGTGGCGTATACAAAGCTTACTCTGCTGCTCAATAAGGCAATTCAGTCAAAGTAAGGTGCCCACGGTATTATGCTATAGACAGACCTTCAGATTGGCTTTGTATTGCTAACTTCTTCAACAGAGCATTAGATAGATATGCCACAGAAGAAATCAGACGGCAACTTCTTGCCTGGAAGGAAGAGCTACCAGCTGAATTAACAACGCTGGATGGCGTCTCTCTAAGGCTTAATGTACACCTACAACTCCACTACTGTATGGTTTGGACATATATCAGTCGTGCTGCCTTGATCAGTAAAGTGCGGAGCTTTGTTGGCAACAAAGGAAGCAGCAGAGACGACACTATCAGGAGTGCAGAGATCCACGAACTGTCAAAGTCCTGCGTGCAACATGCGGAACAGATAATTGACCTGATCGAGCTTCTCAGAAATCGCCGGCAGCTAGCCCGTTTCTCCCATACCGACTTTCACTGCTGCAGCTCTGCTACTATCATTATCCTCTTGGAAAGTATCTTGCATCCTAGGCTCAAATCTTACTCTAGAGTAAGCACAGCAATGGAAGCCCTACATTTTATGGCCCGCGGCAGTGAGTTTGCAAGGAATGCCCTCAAACATGTAGATAATTTTCAGGCGGTCGTCAACAAAGCTTTAGCAGCCATGTCTCACCAAGGAGAGCCTGGTTTTGATTACCGTGATCTTAACCCCACAAAAATGTCTGATTCCGTCCTGCTACCGAAGGAGGCACAAACTGCGGACAGCGGGCAATTCATCGAAGATGCTCATCAGCCTTATTATGGGACATCATGGGAAAGACGCTTGCACGAGGTAGGCGGCGAGACATCAATTAATCAACCTTATTACCAAGGGTATGATGGAGCGCTTTTCGATGATATTGGGACATTGCTAGAGGACTGTTCGTTTTCCAACCAACATTTGCTAGGCTTTGATGGACTTTACGCAGGCAGTACGCTTGACGACGGTGATGGGTTATAAAATGGGGATTCTGCTCAACTCTGACGATCATCTCCCATTTTCACACACACTGTATATAAACTACATGAAGATAAATGAAGTCATTGCGCTATTGGTAAATGTAACGTTCCAAGAAGCTGATTAGGAGACGGTATACATTAAGTAATGTACCAGAACTGCTTGTCTTCCTTGTCGGTCATATCCCTCCCAGCTACCTCGGCCACATGCTCGCTCACCTCCATCTGGACTGCGGATCGGCGTTTATTTTCATAGACACAAGAAAACCAATAAACTGCCACTGACGGAATGAAGACGAGCCAGCTAACCAGAGCCAAAACAAGACCACTATGGTAGCGGGGCGCGTACTCGGTGTTCCAAAGAAGTGGTGCGCAAATAGCCCCTACGGAATAGCCGACGAAGAATAAAGCGTTGACAATTGCCTTCTTCGTGTTCCCACGTGTATTTGAAGCATTTAGACTGAGAAGGATTGAGAAGATATTCGAAATCACAGAGGCCTAGATGGTATGTGAGTGAGCTGTGGAAGCGTACTAAGAGATTTGGGAGCTGTTCCAGGTTTTTGAATCATACCAGCCAAGACGCAACAATCATACCCCAGCCCGCTGACAGAGGGAGGGCAAAGAGAAGGATAATCCCAGTGAGTGGTACAATGCTGAGTCCGATCGCGATGGCACACCGGCGATTTGGCCAGAGCCAACAAAAGATGATCCCAACCCATATGAAAAAGATTTGAATCGCACCTGACGGTGAGGTATACAGCATTGTCTCGAAGTTCGAATATCCCAAATAGTGAATAATTAGAGATGCGAACTGTGTTTTGGGAATCGTGAGTGACTATGACGGATCCAAAACTTCGAGACACTTACTGCAATAACGGGCGAGGGGAGTGTAAGAAGAACACCGAAAAGGAAGCTCAAATATGCTCTAATATCACCAACAGCCTCTTTCAACTGTGATATAGAGAAATGGGTGTGATCCCCTCCTTCACTTTCTGCCTGAAGTCGCTTCGTGGCTATCTCCCGCTCATGGGGTTTGAGGAACCAGGCTGCACCAGGACCTGTGGGCATCAGAAAGAAAAATAAAATGCCCACGAGCATTGTTAGACCACCACATATGAGGAACATGGCTTTCCATTGGGCAATATCCATTGCTTGATGGCCAATTCCGTACATCATCAGTGCCCCAACAATCTGAGCGAGCCCGTTGCAACTGATCCACAAACTAAGAGCCAGACGTTAATAGCCAGCTCAAGACGAATAAAATAGAATGGACACGGAGTATCCTACCCTATACGCAGGGGATGTTCCTTCTTTTTATACCAGATACTGGTTAGGGTAACGAAAGCCGGTGATACGGCGCCTTCAGCCAAGCCCAGACAAAACCGCACTGCCATAAATGATGGGAAAGTCGTCGCGGCTGCCAGACACTACAGAAACATCTCGATTATTCTTGGACAGCTTTGTCTTGAATTGAATGAAGAACCCTTACCATGCATATTCCTCCCCAGAGGATTCTTGATCCATTCCTTTAGCAGGGCTCCTTGAAAGAATTACGCAGGGCGAGACTTACACTGTACAAGCAACGAATCTAGCGAGCGGCAAGCGGCTCATCAGGTACATAGCCGGAAATTCTGCTACCAGCTGCCCAACGTAGAAGATAGATCCCAGCCATGAAAACTGTGTACCATGGAGGCCTAGCTCTTCTATCATTCCAAACACACTAGCATAGCTTAAACTCTGCTTGTCGAGGTCTGAGCTCTGGCGTCATCAGCAAGGGTTTCCACCCAAAAAAGGGGATGGCTAGCACAACGCATAGCAGCTGCCTTGCCTTGATGGTGGCTTACATTGAGAAAAGAAGACAAGACACATCTTGTTCCTACTTTCAGCACTCTATATCTTTATGGCCAAATAGAACCATCATATACTTACCAGTGGAAGGACAACACAATCGATCTTCCTTTTCACACGTCTCTCTTCCTCCGGATCAAGGAATATTGCCGTTTGCGTTTGCGAAGCGTCCTTGTCAGACTCTTTCAGCATTTTGGTCTTTTTTGTATATCGATGAAGAAAGGGTTTCGAGGGGATAAATGATAATATACAACTCCTAAGTTGACACCGACAAACTAGAGAGGCCATATCAGAGTTATCTGCGTCGAATGGCTTCTTATAGCTCTACAAGGGTTATGAAAGGATTGCAATATTCAGCCATGGCGCTAGACCCCGCACCCCAGATTATCATTGATGGGGACGATATTTCTAAGTTTTCCAGTCCATACGCAAGCGGGCCTAAGGCTTGTCTAACGTCCCATGATTCGCCCAAGTTGAATGGTTTGCCAAATATTCCCTGGTCTTACAGTTGCCCCCTGCACCAACCTGACTTGGAAGATTCGACGACGCTAGTCCAACGGTGAAAGGTGTGAAAGCCTAATGGCCGAAGGTTTACTCAGTAGTTAATGTTGCGGGTACATGGACCCGCACGCTAAATGAATCCATTTCGTTTGAAAGTGGGTCTTATATGCGGGTACATGTACCCGCAGCTGCATAGGTGAGTGATCGCCTCGTTGCGACTTATAAATGCCCGAGAAAGCGACTATGTTTCAATACACACAATCGATATCTTCAAGCTAGCTGATGAGTTCCTAAAACAAACGTTATCTTTCTTAGAACTTCGTTCTTTTCTGTCATCATGGCGACGCCCTCACAAGTTACTCCGTCCGATCTTCGGCGCATTATCAAGCCTTGGCAACCAGAACCCCAACAGACATACATCTTTACCAATGCCAATATAATCGACCCTGTCACTGGGAACATCACCGAACGCACATCAGTGAAGCTGTCCGGTGGGTTAATTTCGTCAGTTGGCACAGCAGCCGAATTGGGCGATACCGACTCTAGTGCCATCTGCATTGATCTGAATGGCAAGTTCATCTGCCCCGGTCTTATCGACTGCCATGTGCACATCGCTGCTGTCCCAGGATCTGCAAGCCTTCGAGAACTGAAGGATCTCAGCGATAACCTTAACCTTCTACGACAGCCAAGCGTCTGTCAATCGATGTTGAACCGAGGATTCACAACTGTACGAGACTGTGGGGGGGCATCCCTGGCATTAAAGGAATCGATCCAGGAAGGTGTTATACCCGGGCCACGCTTGTTCATTGCCGGACACGCTCTCTCACAGACTGGTGGCCACGGGGATCGTCGCCAACAACACGACCCCAATGAATGCTGTGCAGGACATGTGAACGGTATTGGTCGTATCGTGGACGGTGTGGAACAATGTTTGAAATACGCTCGCGAGGAAATACGACAAGGATCGGACTTTATCAAAATTATGGGAGGAGGCGGTGTCGCCAGTCCATCGGACCAGATCCACCATCTCCAGTTTTCTGACGAAGAGATCAAGGCCATTGTCACTGTCGCTAACAACGCGGGAACGTATGTCACTTCTCACGCGTACACCCCGCAGGCCATACAACAAGCAATCCGCCAGGGGGTGAAGGGAATCGAACACGGTAATCTCCTCGATGAAGACACAGCGAAGCTGATGAAGGAACATGGGGTCTTCCTTACTCCGACTCTAGTAACGTACGCAACAATGGACTCGCCTGAGTTCGGCGGGTTCCTGCCCCCGGCTTCTGCCCAGAAGAATCGGGAGGTGCTGCACAAAGGGTTGCATGCACTAAAGCTCGCTAGTGAAACAGGCGTAGATATATGTTTTGGAACAGATCTCTTAGGGCCACTGCACTTTGCACAGAGTAAAGAGTTCGCTATCCGCAGCAGGGTACAGACAGCTTTGGAAATTCTCCAGAGTGCCACTATTACCCCTGCTCGACTGTTGAAGCAGGACGGGTTTCTCGGACAAATTGTGCCTGGATTCGCCGCTGACTTGCTTGTTCTTAACGCAAATCCCTTGGAGGATATAACTGTGCTCGATAGGTTTAACGATCATGTATTAGCGACGATCAAGGACGGGCGCGTGCTAGCATCACGGTGGAGTCAACTTGATGTTGAGGCAATTCCCCTGCCACGAATAGAATGAATAAGAGAAGAAATGGTATCTTAAAATCTTTGATATTCTTGTAAATTTCCAGTGCTCCCGAAAGAAACCTCTAAAGCTTGCCAAACGGCAACCTCAATTGTATCAAACATTGTTCAGTAGTAATTCAAGTAGGATGCCAGTAAAGATATATATTGTCGCCCGCGTCATATCCTCAGCCGCAAAGATGTCGGACATCAAATGCAGATTTGACCCTGTCCAGCGGAAGAGCACAACCTGTTCAGATATAATTCAGATAGACATGTCAAGCCTCAATGCCTGCGACATTGGCAATTTTAGAATAGCTAGTCAAAGCGTGTAGTTTCCAAGTTGGGTGGAATCTCAGAAGCATCCGCAATCCCGTCTAAACTATAATGGGAACAGACAACCTCAGTTAAATAGGCGGTCGTTGTATCTCGACCTAAATTCAGACTGTTCCGTTTGACCGCCTGCTTTCTTGAGGACGATATTCCATACCGAGTAATGAATGGGGCGTGACATGTGGGGCAGCATAAATCGCCTGGGTGTGATTGGACAGTTTCATATCAATCAAAATATTTGCGATTTTCGCTAGTTCAAGCTGCGCTGTGTCAATCCCGTGTGGCCAGGCATACAAGGATTAGGTTTGCTAATTTCATAACAATGGCTATGCATATAAGCTAGAGTGTGGTCATTCGCCCACATCGCCTTCGAACTGCAAGTTAAAATATGGACAATCATGTCGCCGCAAATGTGTTCGGCACATTGGGAGCAGTGCTATGGTCGCTTCAGGTTAAACACAACCCCGCGTTAGTTATTCATTAAGCCAGTAACTAACCTCCAAGATAGCTTCTACCACAGATCTGGAAGAATTGGCGACGACATGACAGTGAGTCCCTGTCTGCGGCCTTCTTCTTGTCCTGGGCCATGGCTGGGGTTCCCCTCGGCGTGTACAATATTTCAAACAACTTCAATATTGCTTTGCAAGTTCAGCCGAATATTCTCATCTTCCTAAGTCTCTGGACTTGGTCTCAGTGCAAGTACTACGGTGACAAATGGAGCCTGAAGAAGATTGCTCCTCTTGCCATAGTCATAGGTGCAGTTCTTGGCGGCGCTGAGACCGGTCTCGTGTTTGCACTCCGCGTGGCCTTCAGAAGAGGCCACAAGTGGCCGTCAACTCTCATGGCAATCCTTTCCGCCGTTCTTCTTGCGGCTGGAGTACTACAACATTACGTCGATATGTTCAGGACGCGGTCAGATGCAGGATTGTCCCTCAAGTTTGCCCTTCTCGATGCGAGCGGAGATGTGGCTTCGATTTTGTCTGTCATCTTTCAGCCTTCACTAGATATTCTGGGCCTAGTCATCTACGGTACGGAGTTTGCCATATGGTTGGGGCTGATGATCATTTTGTTATATTTTCGGGCGGCACAGCGCAGGAAACGAAGAGTCATTCGAGTGGATGGACCGTCCGATAGTACGAGTAACCAATAGTTGACTATCTCATGATGTATGTATGTACTGTGAAGACAGGCGTGTCCTGTCTATCTTCCGATATAGACACATTAGATTCTTTTTATTTATACCTCTAATGCTAGATATATAGTGGGGACATTTGGAATGTACGTATTCGAAATGTATACTGTGAGCTATGAAGAAACCGCAAGAAGCATATTAGACCTTAATCCACCGCCCCATCCAGGTATTCACAATTTCTTTCGCCTCATCAACTAACCCAAGGTCTAGCAAAAGCTGCGTGGTTCCACGGACGGCAGAATCCAACGCCGAGAAAATCCAGGCATGAGTGTAACTAGTATGTTCGCCGATGAAGATTGTCTTATATTCGGTTTGGTAGTAGGCGGGGAGATACAGCTCTTGCTGTCCGACGAGAGGAGCCGCCCAAGCTCCAGCTTGATGCTCATCAACCTCCCAGCATTGGCGATCATAGATGCCTGTAATTCGGTTAGTGATGTTATCTCTGTCGGGAGTAAATCGAGTAGTGGCTCACCTGTGTATTGCTCGGCGGCAATGTTCCCATGGATCTGAACCATAGAGCGTAGTACCAGAGCAACGTGATCCTCAGTGCTCAACGCCACGATCGACCGTGCCGGAGTATCGCTGACGTATGATGCGAGGACAACTCCAGGTCCGGTGGCATTTATGTTGAAGGATGGATAGCAGACAGAGCCGATTCCCGGCAAGTCCACGGATCCGCATCCTCCGAAGATGGGCTTCTCCTGGTGTTCCCAGAACCGTGTCTTGAAATGTAGAGACATTTTACAGGACTGGGCGTAATTCATGGTGGAGATAGCGCGACTCAGAAGAGATGAATAGCGAGGCATATCCCATAGACGAACCTTGCTGAATGGCACAGAGACAACCGCATAATCATATTCTGCACTTTCGGGTTCCAGTTGCATTGGATCATCGCGCCAATTGACAGCGATCCTTCCGGAGCTCTCATTGAAGGATAGCCCCTGGATCGTGCGGTTCAATGTGGTCTTATTGGCGACGTGTGGCCAGAAGGCGCGTGGGAGTGATTCCAGTCCTTTGTCGATGGTGCGCCACTTTGTGGCACTGAAGTAGACGCCTTCATAGAGACTATCCCACATCGGAGTGTCGTCAGACCCGGCAACGTAGTCGGTAATATTGTCATTGTACCCCAGAGCATATCGCAAATAGCCGGCTTCTGACCAGTGGAAATATCCACTTTCGACTGCAGACTTGTGTGCCTGATACATGTCGGTGACAATCTTTCGGCTGATCTTGTCCGCAGTAGTATAGTCTTTGTATGCTTGCGCTGCACCTGCGGCTTCTGTTGCGTTGGAAGATGCTGCTTTGTATACAAGTGATGAATTGGCAGCTACATCTGCCGCAGTAGGGATCAGACCATTTGGTAAACGGTAACCCCCGGAGCTGGCTGGGACATTCGGACTATTCTGAATGAAGGGGATGAAGTTGACAGCAAGTTCCGGATGATCGGTATTCATTTCGTTGAGCACATCGCTCAATTGGAAGACCATCTTGTGATCTTGAATCTCGAGGGTCTCATTTGTGTCCGCATAGGTGATGCTGACGGGGAACCGCATCGGACCCATCTCCTGATACTGATATTGGTCCGGGCGAGTATGGTTGAGGTATTCGGTACGGATACGGCCTCCAATTCTACTGGAAGACTCAATAATGTGCCAGTTGTGCATGCCAACTGACTCTAATAGAAGGCTAGTCATCAGGCCGGACATGCCCCCTCCGATAATTGCCACGGAGGCGTCTTTTGCTTGAGACACCACGACCTTCCCAGGCTCCTTTGCCTGCATGTATGCGACACCATCGAACCACGGCCCCATTGCATCGGCAACATCTGCAATACTCTCTCGCCGTACGAGTTGTGCGGCGACAGACACTGGGGCTGATCTTCCTACCAACGTCGATCCTGAAAAGGCGTGAAGGCAATGAAGGTGGGGAGTGTCCGAGGGAGTTGCCCAGACGAAGCGCTCGGGATGAGCGTGTCGCTTGACATATATGGTTCCAATCTCATGGTGCTTTTCGCTGGAGCTAGAGATATCGCAGGCCCCATACAGGAGGTGAACCTCACCTTGGAAGCCCGGGTGAAGGAAGTCGATATGGACGTTGTGTAAGGAGTCAGCGGTGACATCTGGGACTCGGAAATGGACCAGTTCTGTCTGCTTGTGTACAACACCGGCCCAGCCTACCTGGAAAAGTCCCAAGGCTAAGAGCCCACTCGTATAACTGTGAAAGGTTGGCGCCATAACTGGTGATGCCTCGATATCTGTTGAGTACAAGAACGCATGCTACTTTCAAGAACAGACGGGCTTTCAAGCCATTTTTATAGCCTTTGTGCCATTGCTCTACTGCGAAAACATTGCCCACCTGTATTCTTATCAGGTACCATCATTATTCATTACTCTCCAACCGATAGGAACTTCACTATACAATCCCTCCGCGATGGTAGTGCTACAGATCCGAGTGAATTACTAGACAGACAAAGAAAGATACCGAGTGCTAAGAGATGAGTAACAGGATACTGACTGATAACAGACCTGTGCTACAATCACGGTGTCCAAACTCCACTTATGTTTCCTATAGTTATCTGCTCGGTCATCTTATCGAATACGAATAAAGATATTCCCGCTAATCCCCACGTTTATCTATCCGCATATCCGGGGGAGCCAGTCAGAAATCTTTCCGAGGGCATGTTGACAGGTACGAGATCGGAGATACTGAACGGTATGGGGTTTCCCTTCGGGGGTAATGATCGACTCGAGCGGCTTGTTCCGACTTTGTCTTATCAGACAAACGAAGACTCGAAGAGTCATCGTGCAGTTGAAAGGGCGCGGGTGGAGCTGATCTTATCTTATCACTGCCTCCCGACTGTACGGAGTCTATACAGTGGGAGTTTCCCGTGCCCTTATCTACTTTACCATCGAGGCTTTTCTATAGTCTACGGCCTATTTCGTTTCGACCGGAAAGTTCCCAGGCTTATATTTGCTGCCATGGGAGTTAGTTCTCTCATGTATCCTAAATTTCTAGAATATAATGACAGGTTCCGTAGATGCCCGTCCCGATGCTGGCTTATGTCACTGTGGCTATATGCCTCGATAATTTCTACAATGACTCAAATACTTATGGGATTATCTATATTGTTATTCTCTTTTGTATGGGCTTCTCATTGGGTGAGTTCGGTGTGGGCGTTGGTAGAATATTTAGTACTAGTAAATAGCTACCATAAATATTCCGGTAAAGATTCTCCGTCGAGGTCCATTGTTGTTGTACCCGCGATATGTTGAACGTTGTAATTGGTATATAATTATGTAACTCTATAATACTACTTTCCTGTTCCTGGCCTATCCCGACATATCAGGCTATTTTACTCCATATCATTTTTGCTATGCTATATAAGAATTGTGGTGTACTTGGCCTCGACCTAAAACCCTCGTTATCAGCCGCTGATACGGAGGTGCTCAGCAGGCTAGTCATGAGTTGCAAAAAGCTGGGTATGCTATATTACCCTAACATGCTTGCCCGATACTGCCAAAATGACCTCCCTGCCTACGTCTGGGTAAGCATCGAGGAAATCAAACGATTTAATATCGCTTTATATAAAGTTTGCACGGAAAGTCACCTTTAGATAATCAGAATTAGACGCCGAGTTTAGAAGCCGTGCCAGCCTCAATACGAATCGCAATTGCCACAGGCCGACTCGATGCCGCCTAACTAAGCTAGAACCACCTTGTGCCAAAGATAGTGCACGCGCTTAAAATGTCGAGGATAGGATATTTGAACACTTAAAAAAGCGCCTTCAAGCCAGTCTACTAACAAAATTACTAAGCTATAAGGATTCCAACGATATCGGGAGCTGAGAGGCCATATACTGAAGGGTCTATGTATAGGCCCAAAGGAGACACAGCATATGTATATTAGGACCTGTATTTTGCTGTTGTGTGTGTGTGTGTGTGTGTGTGTGTGTGTGTGTGTGACAACGATTAAAGAGACTTGGGTTACAAAGGTGGGAGGTAGAGTGTACATACTAAGAAGACATAAACCAACCTGTCGATTAGCAAGCACCCAGAATGAAATTCGTGGAAGTGGTATAATACCCCATGGGTGGCTGGATGCAGGCTTATGTTAAAGTGGGGGTGCTCAAGGCAGCCTGGTACAGGCAGGTCGAGGCACGGGCGAGAGAGAGTAGTAGGAGGAACGGAAGCAGCTAAACGAAAAAACAACAGTAAAGCCTCGATAGAATCCGATCTCAATCGCACAGTGTATTTTTGTAACAGCAGTAGAAACTGTTGCTCTGCTGAAGGAATCTTCTGAACTCTGGACGTCATGTTCGGTAGCAGATAACAGGGACCAGAAGATGAAAGTGAGTGACCTATAAAGAAATAGTCTCTTTAAAAGTAAAAAGAAGCTCCCAACCTCCTACGATTTCTACAAACATAACTAAACTTCTACAAATCTGGTGCTACCTGCCACCACCTAAAGCTACCAAAGCATGTCCTAGCTGCAGATTTCGGTGAAATTCTCAAACTATTTCCACATGTAGCCCATCAAATCTTGGGCAATCCTTTTGGAGCCAAAACCGGATCGATAACGCTTGCGAGGATCAGTGAGTGCTGATCCCAAATATGATTGTATACTGGGAACATACGGATCAGTCCTTGCTGATGATGCTGCTAGTTAGACTTTGGATTTCCCCAAACCGTACGACCTACCTACCATAAAATAAACTCTACGGCAAACCAAAAAGGGCCTCCCGTTTAGTGAAGTGGAGTGGGTGATCACATTATCGGCAAATTTATTATGGAGTGGCTAGAAATCGGATATAGTTTACTGTGTGTGGAGTTGCGGCAAACCAAATTAGGGAAGGCCGAGCTTGATGCAATGGAATGCCGGTGTTCCTGGTATTCGTTCCTTGTTCCATAGGATCTATAGTCCCCGGCTCAGAATGCTATATTTGAAAAGTGTGGAAAAGAGCTATGTCAAGATATGCTATCGTCATTATATTTATAAAGTACGTCTCATATGCCTTGATGATCTCTAGTATCTTATCCGCTTTAAAGAATACCAAAATCGAACCCATTCTCAGCCTCAGGCCCGCTACCCTAACACCTCTAACGCTTCATACCAACACTTTGCAGCCATGGCAAAAATATTCTTGTAAGTCAATACCATCCCATATCCTGCACCTGGAAAGCTAACTCTTTCACAGGACTGGTGTAACTGGCTATGTCGGTGGCAGCATCTTTGTCAGGCTGTACGAGCAATATCCAGAATATAAACTCACTGTACTTCTGCGGAAGACACCAGACGCCTTCGCCTCCAAATTTCCCGGCGTTAAAATCGTTAATGGCGCATGGGAGACACCAGCTGTTCTCGAAGACGCTGCTTCAGAGGTCGACATTGTTGTCCATTGTGGTGATTCCGACCATCTTGGCGCCGTGACTGCGCTCCTTAATGGATTGATTAAGCAAAACCGAAAAGTGTTCTACATCCATTTGTCTGGTACTGGGACGCTCTCCGACTACCAAGACACCGATCAATTCCGTGGAAAATTGAATCCAAAGACCTATTCGGATATCCATGATATTGATGAGATCACATCTCGTCCTATGGAAAGGCTTCACAGGGTTACAGATAGTGCAATCCAGGCCATCGGCGAGCATTATAAGGATACCGTCAAGACGGCTATCGTTGCACCACCTAGCATCTACGGCAAAGGATGGGGCCCTGGTCGGACTGACTCCTTCTACATCCCTCTTTTTGTCCCGGAGGTTCGAAAGCACGGTTTTACGATGTATTGCAATGAAGGTTCGAACCGCAAAGGCTGGACGCACATCGAGGATTTGGTGGATGTGTACCAATTGTTGATTGCGAGTGCCGTTGCGGGTGGAGAAGGTGTGACCTGGGGGAAAAATGTGGGTGTCATTTCCGGGCCGATCTCTCTTTCACAAACTAACTCCGACTTTCTACCCATTTAAGGGATACTTCCTTACATCAACTCAAGAAGCCACCCAGAAAGAGCTCGCTACAGCAGTCGGCAAGGTGTTGCACGAGAAGAATATCCTCCCATCGCCTGAGCCGAAGCAAGTCGATGAGGGTTTTGTCAGCAAGACATTAGCCCAGTTTTTTGTGCCTAACTTCGGCTATTACATGCTGGCAAGCAACTCCCGTGGTGTTCCCGAGCGTGCGAAGAAAGAGCTGGGCTGGGGAGGTGGGCGTGCGCCGCCGCTTTGGGAGGTCCTCCCGGACGACGTGGAGGCCTTTTTGAACAGACCGGATGAGAATTTTCGATAGAGACCTGGCTAGTCGTGCGTCCCGTCCTTGCAAGACGAAAGGATGAATCGGCTAAATTAGTATGTTGGCTCTCTGGATGTTACTATTATAATGGGAATTCACATTTAAATCGCCCTCATCCAGCCTTCGTGTAACCTCGGTGTCCGGCTTCTGTTGTCACACACAGTACGTACTAAGAATGTTCGATGATTTCTTTTCCATGAGTAAGCCTCGCTTTGAACCAATTTCTTTCCCTAACTGTGCAAGTAGTAGCTAAGTATCTTGTCTTACGGTGGTCGAAAGATGGCAGGATACGGTCACTGCCGTAACGACTGGCTAGATCCTGGAAGCATAGTGGAGAAAGATATCGCTGTACAAGATTGCAATACGGCAAGTTTGCGTATTCTAATGTCGATTGGGAAACTTCGAGCACTATCCCCTACGTAGGCCCGTCTCTAGATTCTGAACTCTTATCCGTCGTTGTATGTTGTGATTCGGACGAAAGATTGATTTGTGGTCTCGTATAAGAACAAGAGGGTATATATACCCAAGGAAAATTCCAAATTAAATTTTCAAGCCTGACAATATCTTCTCTCAGTCCATGCTTCTAGCTATACTCACATCAAAAATTAAACATCTGAGAGAGTACGGTGGTGGTTGCATCAATCGTAACGGATCTATAACTAATCAGCCTCCAATGCTGGAGCACGGAGGCGAATAATATTTCCGAAGAGTCTTGCTCCATCATTGCAGAAGTCTACAACTTCCCCTTGGGTGTATCTCCACCCGCAACTCCGTCGGCATACAACCGCTGCAGCACCTCACGATAAATCTTAGCGGCTAAGGGTCTCTTCAGTTTCAAAGTAGGTGTCAACATTCCATTCTCAACAGTAAAGGGCTCAATATCGAGCTCAATGTTGCGCACCCGCTCAAAGCCTTGCAGCTTCTTCTTCCGGCCTACGGTATCAAGATCCCTTTGCACGGCTTCCCTCACAAGCGGGTCTTTTGTCGCTGCCCTGATAGCCTCGAAGTTCATAGGGTCGATCTTCCTATTCAACACTTTTTGTGCATACGCTGCAAAGAGGTCCAGCTGAATGCCAAATATCCCAACGAGGAACGACTGCGAACTGTCTCCCCATACGAACGCTTGTGCCAGGTAGGGTAACTCGCTCGTATACACGCCCTCCAGCCGCTCAGGTGAAATATATTCACCCTGCGACAGTTTGAGCACGTTCTTCCGGCGATCAATCACGGCAATACGTCCCCGTTCATCTACAGACACCACGTCGCCCGTCTTGAACCAGCCATCGTCGGTAAATGCCCTGTTTGTTTCCTCTGGGTCTTTGTAATACCCCTTGAACAGGCTTGGTCCCCGAATGAGTAATTCTCCACGAGGATGCGGGTTGTCCTTCACCGTGTAGCCCATTTCAGGAAGAGAGAGAAGACAGAATTCCATAACCGGTGCAATACCGCCACAATTTCCAACGCTGAAGTCATCGGCAGCCTGTGCGGAGACTGAAGCGTAAGCTTCCGTCATCCCGTAGCCCTGGAATAGCGGCACGGCGAATACATCACGCAGGAGGGCATGCATTGAAGGATCGAGGGGCGCCGACCCCGTTACCATACTCTGCAGTCGGTCTAAACCAAGCGAGGCAGCGACCTTGCGGCTCCAGCTAGGGTCATAAACTGGATCGGTCTCGTGGGAGCGGGTGTGTGGGGCACCAGGTTGTTTGGCCGCGGCGACTTTGATCATACTTCCGAAACGGTTGTATATCCGGGGGACGGACCCGAAAAACGTTGGTCGGAGTTGCTTGAGGTCTTCAACAAGCTCGGCGGTGTTTCCATGGAAGTATCCAATCCGGGCCCCCATGTAGAGGCAAGCATGCTCCATTAAGCGACCATAGATGTGTGCCAGTGGAAGATAGGAGCATATCACGGAAGTGGTATCAAGCGGGAAGTAGATGAGAGCACTCGAGGTGGCTGCGACAGCCATGGAGTGGGTGAGGACCACGCCTTTCGGAGGCCCGGTGGTGCCGGAGGTGTAGTTGATTGTTATTGTGTCGGACGGCTCCGGGGGATTGTAGGAACCTCCCAGGTCGTTTCCGAGACTTTCAACAGCTTCCATGGTGTAAATCCTCACCCCGGCTTCCTCTGCCACGGCGGGGAAAATGGCCTGTTTCAAGGGTTCCCGATGTTCGACACAAGAGGGTTCTATAGGATCGACAACGACGATAATCCGCAGACTTGGCAGTTGAGGCTTTACCTTGAGCAAAGAAGGTACATGGGGGAGCGAACAAACAACAGCACTGAGATCCGCATGTGCGATGATATACTCGATTGCATCGGGACCCAGTGTATCATAAAGCGAGACGGTATATAGCGACTGAGACATGCAAGCAAGGTCTGTTAACTGCCACTCTGGCCGATTCTGACACCAGAGGCCCACGCCGTAGTTCTTGCCGGTTATCCCTTCTCTTGCGTGAATCGCTGATAAGCCAATGCCGAAGTTCTTGCGACGCCTCTGGACAGTCTGATAATCCAGCCACTGATACGGTTTCCAGGTCTTTGTCACGGAATCATATGGTCGCCAGCCAAGGCAGGGTCCATTTGGATTCCGCGCGACACTTGACTCGAACAAATCGTGGACGGTGGGGCAACTGGCATCGATGGTTTGGAGGACTCCATTACCGCACCGGTGGTGTCGGTAGATAGGTGAACGGCCAGGCTCTTCCGTGTTGGGGATTGCAATAGAATATGGCTGATTCGGTGGTGGGGGCTGCGAGTACTCCTTGATAGTTTGTTGGAGTGCAGGTTTAGCCGCAACAAGCGAGGACATGACAACGAACAGTAGGGAGGCCGGAATAGGGGATAGGAAGAGTACCGAGTAGTGACACAGAGAGTGGATGTCAACAAGAATGAGAAGAGAAGATCAATGCAGTCGCTTTAAATAATCCGTATTAATGAATGAGCAGGGATTTGTCAGCGTTGGAAGGATTTATGAACTTGAATCTCGGATTGTGGATAAGCTTGATACTGAGAGGCCCACATTAAGGTAGCTGAACTACAACCTCGGCACAGATCACTTAGGATCCGCGCTTCCTGAATTGGTATCCCGAAATTGCCAATCCTCCAGTGCGTAGCTGTGGGCCATCACATCTGGCGTATTAGGATGAAATGGATTGTGTCTTGAAGTCCCAAATCTAGCACCATCCACTTTTCATATAATTAAGCCACAACTGTGTACATGTAGTTCATTCGTTAGAGACGGTTTTGTAGGTAGATCCTATGTCGGGTACATATAAGTGGTGGTATAAGTGTATAAGGGGCAATTTGAGGGACGTAGGAAAGGGTACGCACTGCGCCGGGGCACCTATTCCAAAGTCAAGTCCCTCAGGGCCCAGAGCCAACTTTGAGCACCTTTGCATGAAGCCCCAGCTTGTTTATCTGGTGGAGGGTGAAGGTACCACTGAGGCCGGTACCGATGATAATAACATCATAGTCCAGAAGGTCATTCATGCGGCGACCAGGAGAGGCTCCAATGCTGCCCATTCGAATTCGAATAAACCATGCGATAAGAGCTAGCGGTGGAGAAGACCGTATAGATCATTGTTGTACAGGCAATATTATATAGATAAATTGAGAAGCCCGATCTCGCAGGTTCTATTACATTTCCTGTATAGCTCTGGGGGTTTCCCACGTCGTTCGACGACATACGGGGTTGCCGGATCTCCATTTCACGGCACAGGTACTGATATAACGGCTGGTAATCCAAATTTAGCTACTGAAGTCGGGAACGGGGAAATCTGAGCGATGAGAGACGCGCTGGCGTGGCGAATAAGACAGACTATACTTTTCAGGAGCATGTCATTCGTCGCTGATCCACATAAGAGCCACTCGATTCTCTACATTCTCCATAAGAAGGCTTCGGAGAACAGCCGAGTTATTCCATTACGTCGACACATAAAGAACAACTAACTGTTGAACAAGTAGATAAGCAAAATTATGGCTCAACAACCTCTCTTCCAACCTTCCCCCGGGGACTCCATCTTCGTCAAACCCATCAATTCAGTCAATTTTGGCCCTGCGCATCTCAAACAATTCACGACCCCTCAAGTTCCCGGCCTGGAAACCTTCCCCAGCAACCCAGCATTCTCCTTCGTAATCGAGCACCCATCAGTGCGTAAGCTGGTCTTTGACCTCAGTGTCGAAAAGGACTGGCATAACTACGCGCCCAAAATCGCAGAGTAATTTCTGATAATGTTGTACAATATCGAGGATACACACGATGTTGCAAATATCCTGGAGCAATATAGTATTCTGCTGAAGGATGTTGAGCTGTGATTTGGAGATATGCGCCTCTTAGGTCCACAAGTCTAGAGTCAATCTGATGAGGTCCGCGCAGCCATTGGTACTGGGATCATATCGGCGACCCTTCCACTCCCGGCCCCATTACAGACCCCATCGTGGGACCAGGCTTCCAAGACACCATGCTCCCAGTGTACCTGGCCAACCCGGACTCCTCTATCCGTGAGACTGACTATGAGTGTGTGCTCTCTCTATCTAAACACTGTTCCAATTCCCAATCAACCAGTGATCTTACTAACGAAATATCGCATCCTCGGTAAAATTTCGTTCTCAGTTAACCCCCCAAACGCTCCGCATTGGCCAACTCCTCGCATGCAACTACTTCGGCGAAAGTAGCTTCTACCTCCTCAACAGCCCTCGCCATACCATCGGCTACCTCTGTGGTCTCGCCCGTACAACGACTCACCTCGACATGTTCGTCCTGGTGAGAAGCAATATTGCGCACTATGCGGAAATCTTCCGACCGTCGACGTATCTCCTCTGCCGCAGGCAATCACCCCATATCTCGTTAATCCCAACGGAATTGACCTCAACGCGGCATTGTGCCTTGGCAACTCCTGGGAAAAACTGCAGAGCTCCAGAGGGCGGAGAACAACTGACAGCCTGTTCGAACCGCCCTTCGGGCATGACATTCCGTGGGCGATGGAGATGATTGCTAAGCGCGGGAGATAGGGTGGCTTATTATCTGGCGACTTTGAATGGCTGGAAAGAGAGGGGGTAGGGGAAGAAGCTTCGGTGGGTATTTTTAAAACCTGGAGGGGTTATGGAGGCGGATGTGGCTGTTGAAATGTCTCCTTCGCAGACGGATCAAACCATCTAAGTTAGAAATAGAGGGCAAGGAATGTTTTTTTTTTTTTTTTTTTTTGCCGTTCTTCTAATACACTTGTATGCGATTCTACAGCGGGAGTAGGGCGTATTTCATCACCTAGGAACGACAGAGCTGATTCGAAACAGCCCCACAGCATTGGTAGTTAATTCATAATACTGGATAATAACTAGTTACTGATTGCATAAGATTATGCAATGGCTATACTTAATTTCCTGCAACCCACACGGCTCGGATCCACCCATACCGAGGCTTTTGTTTACAAGCTGAGATATGCCGAAGTAGATATTAAACCAGAATACAAGGTATCCATTATTCCAGAGACCAAGAGAGGCGAATCTCACAGCACAGCGTACAACATAAGATGACGTTGCCTGCCATGCCAAAGGGGAGATTGGATAAGATCCTGCCGTTTATCGAAGCACATTCCATTTCGGCAGAAACCCTGGATCATTTCGCTGGCATCCCATGGACCAACCAGTACCTCAGCAACCCTGCGTACCGTGCCATCCCGACATATGGTCGCGTTCAAAAACCTGATAGTAGCGAAGATTACCTATTCGCTCAAACCATGAACACTCCAACTACAATCCCTCATTTCTTGACTCTCCAACGAACCAATTTCATTCTGCCACCCGAAAGTCCAAAAGGGAGCATCACTCTCGGTACCGAGCGGCGCACAACTCCGTACCGTGCCCCAGAATACCCGGATTGCATTGTGCTCGTCGAACTAGGAGCTTCTGGGCTAGATGGACACTCGGGACTGCTTCACGGGGGAATTGCCGGAGCAATTTTGGACGAGACACTGGGCCTGATGGCCTCCCTACATCTAGCTACCCTTTCTCGAACAGGGCTGTCCGGGTTTACTGCGAGCTTGAACATCACATATAGGGCGCCTGTATCCACTCCGGGCACCGTGATTGTACGCAACTGGGTAGAGGCGTATGAAGGACGCAAATGGGTGTGTCGGGGCCAGATTGTGGATGGAAGTGACGTGGTTTTAACAGAGGCGGAGGCGTTGCTGGTCAGTGGAGCTCGGAAGGTTTCCTTGTAAGAACATCTTGTCTTGCGTGGTAGAATCATCACCACAGCCCAGAGGTTCTCAGTGCGTACAATTGCACTCCTTGTTCACATAACTTTTCATAAGGTAATTTATGCAATGAGCCAGGACTCCCCTGCTGTGAAATGCATATACATTGGTATTATGAATAGACACAGGGTTCCCCCTCCCGTGCCTCCCGCATAGCGCAAAATGCGCCCTCCCGAGGTTTCCGGTTACCCACTTTCGGTAGGCCGAAACAAGCAAGCCGTGCTGAACCCACTTCCAGGGGGGAACCAGTGGTGAAGATAGTAGCGAGAAATGCTGCTACAGCCATATCTGTACGACTGCCACTGGGACGCTGAAGTGAATTTTTCCTAGTGGACCTGTGGTCGGTTGCCCCATTAATGAAACGAATTGATATATAAATGTCAGTGCTAGGTGGTGTCCTGACCTTCCTTAATAATTAAAACACTCATATATCAACCAATTAGATGGAAGCAGCCCTCCTTGACGTGCATCATATCTCAGATTTCGGGCCCGCTACGACAACTCAATGTCTCCATGCCTACCAACCACCGCGCAATCTTTACAGAAGAATGGAACATGCATTTCTGTCCCAAGGACGCGATAGATCGGCGGCGGGGGTTGGGAACTACGTGGTTACATAAGAAAGGCAGTACTGGCGTCTTTTGCGATGCCTGGCAGGATTTCCGAATCGGCAAGTGGCAAAAAGAGTTGGAGGAAATGGAAAAGAGGGCAGAGTTGATTATTCTTCTGGCGCATGGTGTGGTCCAGGAGACATGTGTTTGTCAAGGAGGGATCAGAATGAGTGACCATCATTCCCGGCACAACTCCCCAGTGGCAGAAACGCCTTGGCTTCAAAAGTCCATGCGTGAGAGCAATCATATAGGAGACGGTAACCTGCCGATCGGACAGCCTATTCCCCCTGTTCTCCTTGAACATTCGCAACACCGGTCTACAGATGCGGAGTATGAATCAACACACCCTCCATCACAAACGTCTTTAGCTGATTGCACCGAGGCGTCCACTGTGTCAATGGAAACAAGGATACCTATCCAAGGGCCAACCGGACAACAAGATACAGCACTTGAGGATCTAAATATGAAATGTTTTACCACGACCAGAATCATATCATCTGCAGATATGTCGTGGTGCCCCGAACTCCTAGTGTATGAATCGGATTCAACCCCTCGTAGTCCAAGAGACCCCGATGCTATGAGTACTGACCACCATTGGGCGTTCTTGATGGAAGATCAGGGCTTAAAATTGGATCGGGAGATCCAAAGCATGGGGCTAGATTACTGGGCACGAGTACTTCAAAACAATATCAGTCTTCGTGGGAATTGAAATTTTGGGGGCTGTGCCGAAGTATTCCCGCCCTGCGTGTTGAATCTTCTATCTCCAGTGTATTATATTTCAACTTGAGATTCATATATGACGCTCTATCCTCTACTTGTTTCAGTCCTTCATTCACGATACTTCAAAATAAGTGCGGCCAATGATTCCCTGTGCCTAAGTTCGGGCATAGAGTAGAGACTACAACCAGTAAACCTTCTCAACATATCCGAAGAGATTGAACTTATTCATCGTTGGATAATGGCCAGCTTTATACTACGCTTCTGTAAACCAGGAAATCGGATTTTCCGTGCTTAGTTACAATTTCCTAAGAACTTGGTCACTAGGATGTCTCTCCGGGACCTCCCTCTCTAATACGAAGTTTCTTCCAAAAAGGCAAAGCCACATCTACCTAGCAAAGACAGGGTAATCAACCGCTGAGCTGGCAGGTTTTCTTCTTTACCTATTATTTAATATTATTTCACACGTCTTTTCTTCCTACCCAGCAAAAGAAAATGCCCCTTCTCAAAAGCGTCAAATGCAGATTGCTATGTCTGCCTACAAAAGCAAAAAGTTTCGATCTCAGTCGAAAGCTTCGGGTACCTTGGGACCGTATAATATATATATATATCTCTATCAATTGGAACAGCATCTCGAATCTAAGGGCCTACAGAGGGAAGCAATCGTTATCACCTCCAGTGATCTCTTGTAGTGGTCCCTTTGTATGATCGTTGAGGCCAATTCTCCTTCACGTCCACGCCGCCATGCTAAGTGCCCTCTCCACATCAAGCCTTCGCCATCCAGGCGAGCGACCGAGACAAATACATGTGCTAACCAGTACTGCAAGAAGATGAGTCTTGTACAAATAGGCGAAAGGGATAGTCTTACTCCTAATTAGACATGACGTCTTAATCGCTGTCTTTTGCAGTAAACTCTGTCGAGGACCTGATGGAGGTGATGTGAGCAAATGCACCTCTTTCTCCTGAAGGAAACCCTCAAGATCATGGATATTGAACCAAACGCCACTCATTTCTTTATGGACGTCCGGCGAGAATGCGGCTAACGGTTCCTGTTGCATTGGACTCCGACTTTCAAATCTAGGAGAAGGGTGACCGACGATTGAATTCGGCGACAAAGCACGGGGGTAGTGAGTTCCTGCACCACCTACACTAAAGAACGGGATGTCTTGCCACTCGGCAAGGCGGGAGGGATGTACAGGGGCCTGTACCGCAGCCTCAAAATAAGAAGTGAGGCGCTCCCGATTCAACATGCTGAGAAGGAAGCGAAACTTCCTCTGCAAATCGGCGAGCTTGAATGAGGTATCGCGCAGCGAATAATACGCATGATATGCACATGCCACGCGGAGCTGCCGGGTGAAGAGTGTTACATCTACGACTGTGACGGTTGCGGTGTCAAATAAAAGCGGAGAGCCGGGGCTCAGAGGCATTGGGAAGCCGTTGAGTCTCCCTACTAGATTCGAAGAGACGCTCAGTGACGAAGGTACTGTTGACTGGAAGGTCACTAGTGAAGATTGCTCCCCAGCTGGTTTCTCTCTCAGCACGAATGGTGACTGGTCCGCACTTGGTGTACAGTTAGGGGACATTGTGCCTTCGTCGTCAGCCTGATCCAGCACGGCAGTACAAGACCTGCATGTCTCTATAGTGGCCCGCAAATGGGACTGAAGATCGGGGTTCGAGGTGAGCGCTCCTGTATGCGCAACGTGCTCACTAAACGAAAGAATAGCTGAGCTCATTTTGCTCAATACTCCCTCCAACTGGGCGATCCGGGCTTCATATTTCGCCAGGGCCTCTTCCTTCCGTGACCGATAGGCCCGTTGCGCTTGTCGGATTTGCAATCGGCGTCGCTGTGCTCAGACCATGATCAGTGCACAAATCTAAGGGGCGTTAAAAGCTGAAACACGAGGGCCTACTCACCTCTTCCCGGTCGTCATGCGTTGGACGAACTTCCGTTTTTTGTGGTCTACCACGCTTTCTGGGAGATAGTACCACCGCTGTAACCGAGTCACGGCGCCGATGTTGGCTGGTTCTCTGAGATGTCGTCTTAGATAATGCAGGTACGACCATTCCATCACCCATTTCCACGTTTGCAACACTCTCTGCTACTAGCCTGCCATTTCCGCCATAGACGGGCGATTGCCTGTTGCTGTGAGGTGTATTTCGAGCTAGTTGATCAGGTGACAGATAGGAAGACGCTGAAAGCAGTGAGGCGATATTGCCCGCAGCGCCGGAACCTTGTGAGGAAGTGTTAATGCACATGCTTGAAGAAGGCGGCACTAGTTCCTTCAAATGATCCATGGCAATCAACATGTTACGAAGATAATCGATGGTCAAGAAAGATCTCTGAGAATGATGGGGTGGGGAGGCTACTCGCATGTCGGCGGATAAGCTGTTAGCCATAAGTTAATTAGTAAGGAAAGCTGTCCATACAGGCCATGAATCTAATCTAATCGTCATATTCCTTGGACGATCAAATTTCCCTTGCATTTTCATTGGGTCGAGCTGCGGTAGACTTTGTGGGTCAATTATCTTATTGGCTAATGTTAGGTCGTGGCTGAGATGGACCTCGGTTGCGATCAATAATATAATTTCTGGCGGTGTGGTTGGTTCCGTGTATATAAGCTGGACCTTTATGACATATTACTGAACAGTAGTAAAGAGTGGACATAAAGTAAATAGACATTCTACATGGTCCTAATAGCTCACAGAGCAGAAACAGATTTGTGACAGCTCCTATCCAGAAGAAAGTTATTCCAACGTTGTGGGTACCTATTTTTCATAGCCTCTTCCACTTTTCTTGCGTCCCCAAGGCGTTCCAATTCCCCCTCAAACGCCAAGATATATTCCCTTGTCAAATTAAGCAAATACGGGCCATCCACCTGGGAAGCTCGTTTATGGCCCGGTATCACAAAGCTCGGCTTTAAGCTAGAAATTTGGTCAAGAGCATTGAGCCACTCCCTCCTCTTCGCTGCCGTGGTAGCCTCCGCCAAAAACTGGTGACATTCGCCGTAGACAATATCTCCCGCCACGACAAGGCGCAGATCTGGTACGTGCAAGAAGGAGGACGCGTGGGTATCGGAATGAGTAACGTCTATACCACAAAGACGGTGGCCGTCAAGGTCGAATTCGCCAGTCTGCGGTAGCATATCTGGTACGACATGCCCGTCTGTTGGGATCTGGCCATCCGGAAACCATCCTTGCCATCTAGGAATCGCTGTATCCAATGTCTGCTTCATTTCACTAGCCACGGATTTCGTAGCAATACAAGTTGCGCCAGGAAAGTGTTTGAGGATGATAGGGTTGCCGAAGAAATGGTCACCGTGTGCGTGGGTGGTGTAGATGTATTTCAGCTTCTTGCCCGGGGCTGTTTTCTTTATCCAGCTTGCCAGCTCCCCTGCTTGATTCACCGTCATTGGACTATCGACCAGAACTGCCGATTTCGTTCCCTGGATTAGAGTGCAGGATATTGGTGACCACCAGGTTTTAGATGGGTCTTGAGACCCCGTGTTGGCCGGTATCGCAGGCGCAACGTATACGTCCACTTGTAAAGTGCTCTGCATTGTGGTTCTCGAAGTGAATAAGTTGCTAAACTAGAGATGATTGATGGTATTGAAGGGGATGCGATTAGACGATCATCTATGATTCTTTGAGGCGACCCTAGGCCCTTTATATAGACTTGACGGACAGGCATAGTATTACAGTCCTCGGTACCTCGAATATTAATATTGTATTACTGATCTCGGAAGCTAGGTCGTGACGTGTTTCCACTTGATGTTCACCCGCAACTAGATTAGGCATTCTTGCTCTATTGAACAATAACCGATAGAAAATGTCCTACGAAGCAAGCTGCTCTCGTCTATAGTCAAAGCAAGCCAATCGTGGTGATTTACATCTTCGGCTTGTTGGAAGGAACTCTCAGAATCGACTGTTGACTCATACAGGCAATCAAATGTCCCTCTTCGTCCCAGAGATTGCTCTCACTATAGGTGCGACCGTGTCCAGCCCGACTACTTGTAGCTTCCCTCAAGTGCCAGTTGTCCACCTTGACATTTGGCGAGAAAAGCCTCAGTGCAAAGTCAAGGCTTGAACATGCATCAACATCTTCAAAGAAGAGGTGATTGTGCACCAATGGCAGAAAGGACAATAGCCCGTCCATCATAAATCCCAAGCTCGCTACGTGTTCCCCCTCAGTCTGGAGGGGATGCTTCACACGGAGCCAATCCGCCGAGGCCTTTTGAGTAACAGGTAGGTCATCTTGGTTGCTTTCGACTGATTTGACCACGCCCATCAAATTCTGAGACGTAATACCTTCAGGACAGGGTCGACCTTCGTAAAGATTTCTGGATAGTGCAAACATTTTGTTGAACGTGTTGGACTGATTTGCCGTTATCTTTCCCGTCGTCACATCGGTGACCAACATCTGATCCCAGGGGACGCAATCCTGCCAGTGGCTATACGCCCGAGTGGGGCGTGCTGAATAGGTGAGGACGGCTGGCTCGTCTTTGTGGAAGTCTGCCAAAAGTTCCATACATAGCCTTGATTCGCCATTCGATTCGGTCCGTTGCTCGACTGTGACGCGGTATGTGGCGAAACTCTTCGTTTTCCGGAGTTGGATCGGTGTGCAAATGAGGGTCGTTTCTGTACTGGTTGCCCGAAGGAAATTCCCGAGTGCGGAGTACAAATGAAAGCCCTCCGGTGAGCTTTTGTACGCGGCGTGAATTGCCAGGGCAATAGCGTAACCCCCATACCCTATGGGTGCCGAGTTTCCCATGCGCTGTGGCGTGTACGTGGAGACATAATGGTCTCGGACTTTCTGTACGGAAATGTGTTCCGCCAATGTTCTTGCCATCGTGGTCGGATCTCACAAAGGGCACGGTTAGGTCCGTAAATAGTTCTATTGGCAAGGCTGAACGTATATTTTGCAGGAAGTACACAAACTGCAATTGGTTCAACTGTTGCACGTTATTCCTACCCTTGTAACCCTGGACAGGTACTATATAACTACTATCACGAGAGCCTGCCCTCACCCAATGCCTCGGTTACAGAGACATTTCCCGCCCGGCTTCTGCAGGATTAACAAAACAGATAGGCTCATACCGCATTGTCCCATTATCAACGGGCCGGCTCTGGCGAAGTAGTCCGTGGTAGAAGATCAATATCATGACAATCATAGCACAGCTAAAAGCTACGGTATTTGCAGGTCCCCATTGGAGGATACAGCCATAGCCTTGCCCCACCGACGTGGAGCGCAATGACAAAGTGGATACACGCACGTCCAATCGGAAAGCGAACAATTGGTTTACTGATCATTACTGATCGTCCCGAGGGCTCGGGCATTTGATCTGTGCCCTAACAATGCCACAAGACTACTTACTTCAGTCCATACAATGTGTCCCGACCCCCTTAGATGTAGTTCTTAACTTTTCATCAGGTGTCTATCGTTGCATTGCGCTATCCAAGCATCGTACTCGTAGGTGTATCATGCCACTCTGCCCTTCGCAACTAGTTCTATTCAATTTGAGCCACTTCGTAATCTGATCGCTGCCTGGAGGCTAATCGAGCTGGATGAAACTTATAAGCATATCGAAGATAAAATTTGTAACTTATACAGGATGGCGTAGAAGGACGCCACCGACTGGTGTGTACTCCCAAACTATATTTGTTTCACTAAATGAGTCACTACTGTACTGTGCTTCTAAAGCTTGTGTTTCTTTGCACCAGAGGCAATTTTCTTAAACTCAGCCTGCGGGATTCCCTCCGCAAATCGTCTTAATCCTCCAAAGAATTCCCTCGCAGCTTGGGCATTGAAGTCGCGATCGCCGGGCTCGCGGAGCAGCTTCTTGATCTCCAGCATGCTTGAGCCGTTAAGATGGTCACCAAGATAAGAGTGAATCTCTTGTAGGACACGCCCTTTGAATTGACCATCTCCTGCAGTATCCAAGACTCGATTGACAAATCCTGTTTGTTTCAACTCCTCAATGTTAATACGGCGACTGAATAAGAGCGCCTCTTTGGCCTTGCTGAGCCCCATTCGACGGGCAAAGGCAATGCTAGATCCACCCTCTGTGACGAGACCAAGCGACGAGAAGGGGGTGAGAAGGTATGTTTCAGGTGTAGCGAAGATCAAGTCAGAGTGCGCAATCAACGCTGTAGACAGGCCGATGACAGGCCCGTTGAGCGCCGTCACTAGAATCTTCGGATGCGAGTAGAAGGCATCCGCTAGGTCGATGTTGTTGACAACAAGGGCTGGAAGCCAGTATCGGCGGATATCGACACCACCTAGGTCATCGGGAGACTGGCCGCGTACATCGGCTCCTCTGTTCGATTATGTTGTCAGCATACTGTGATGTACATATATATAAAAGGAATTAGCCGTTTGTAGATAGGGATCAGGTTCACGTACGCTGAGAAGAACCGGCCCGTTCCAATGAGCAGTGTGACCAGGACCGTATCCTTTTGGGCGATCTCTCGCAGTACGGTAGCAAGATGGTAATAGTCATCGTGACTCAAGGCATTGAGCTTCTTTGGTTTGTCAAGAGTAACAATGGCAATCTTTCCCTCGTATTCCGCTGACACAGCGTGGTTCGCCGACATATTTCTTGTTGAGCAACTAGTAAGTAGCATGAACTTGGAAAGGAAATGACAGAGCGAAGGAAATAAATAAGATATATAGGATGCTCCCTCGGTAGATAGTACAATGTCCAAAACTAGATTACTGAACCTTTTGCTTGTGAGAAATGCCTGTATGTATGACAGACATACTCTGTAGCCGGTCTCTGGTGGCCCCTTCATCACCTGAGTCCTAATTGCCTACGAATCAATTCGATCAAAAAAATCAATTCGGGGGAACATCAAAATCAACACCCAATCTAAACACGTCATTTTAACGCGTCAATCGATCGAGAAAGGCCCCCTGAGGCCTCAGGAACCGCTATGGAGGCCCCAAACCCCCATGGTGGTGGTCTACCGAACGCGTCGAGATGGGCACCCCCGAGCGGGATACCACCACCACCGTCACCACCATCACCAACACCGATATATCGAGGGGGCCCTAGGACCCTAGATATACCCATAGATCTGGGACAGATAAGCTACAGCGAATCTAGCAGGGCCCCAAGCAGGGCCTCTAGCAGAACCAGCTCCAGAAGCAGCCGGAGCACACAGAG